CCATTAGTAGAATTATCCGCAGATTTCATACGAAGCTTTGACATGATATTTATTTGCGTTTATTTGAATGAAATTGATTTTTTGAAGTACATGTGATATAACTTTGAAATAGGGGGGTATGACTAGTTATTATTTATTTATATTTTGGCTGCATATTGTATTTATTGAAGAAATGCCATTGGACACTATTTATAGATACATTGCTATTAATGAATTAACACGTTTATTTCAGACAGTTTGAATAGGTTTTGTTGTAGTAAATGTGACCCTTACCTTATTTTGCCCATTATATACATGTATACATATATGACGCACATACCTCTATTCAGTGTTACATCTCGGGGCAATTTGAACGACATTTGTGAAGGACAACTATAAATATTGATATACATTCCATCGCTTGAGCGATCTTACTTTCATTGTTAATTTTAAATGTAAATTTATATGTTAAAGAAGAAAGAAGAAAGTCAAGAACTTTATTATTAAAACTTTGCTAAATTGAATTGCAATGTTTATTTTCTCAGTTATTGGAAAGAACAAAACACAAACTAACTGAATGTTGTTGATACGAAAATTGTATTTTTATCCGACATGGTATTGAATATAAAAAGTACTAAACATGATAATGATGTGATTACGGTAAACATTGGCGAACCCAACTCTCACCACACCAAGATGGCGAAGTTTGCTCAAAGTGACTTTCCGCGCCAAGGTAGACAGCTTCGTAATAGACAAATGCTGAAGCCATACATGCATGGTGTGTATGTTGAGTATCGGTGCTATCTCCAAACAGAAACCGCTTCCTGTCCAAATGACTGCATGATGCCTCCATGTTCTTCAGAAATAAATTGTCGCAGTCGTGACGGACCAGTCCATACCGTACTGCCTTTAACAAGACCGTACAATGTTGGCAAGGCATGATCAGTTAGAGACATTTTAGGTTGAGACTATTGGAAAATAAGAGACATTTAGGTTGAGAATTTTTGAAAAAAATAGTTACTTAAGAAAACTTAATGAAGGAGGTTGTTCTGTTTCTCATAATGATTAAGTATAACTAACATATTGAAAATCCGTAAGAGTTCATTGTGAGTTTATCAGTTGGTATTTAGCGTTTACGACAAGGGGGTTCAGTTTTGTAAAAAAATAAAAAAATAAAAAATGGTGATGGTTGACCCCTTTGACCAAGGAAAAACAGGGATTTTTTTCATAAAATTGTTTCTTATGAAAGGCTTGATATTTTTTACCTTCGTAGGTTGTAATTCATATGAAGTTTGAAATTCTTTCCTATGGCATTCCATCAAAAGGATATTTTTATTTAATGTTATGCAACAAGAGGGAGTTTTCGGGTTCTCTTTTTAATCCTCAGTATCCAGACTCTAACTGGGAATTCAATATTTCTAGACAGGTATGAATATAGGTACGTTAGTCTAATGAAAGTGGCCTTACACAGAAGTAGCAGACGTCGTGTTGGTTACAGTTAGGTGTGAACGTGTCCTTGTAGAAGAAGGGGAGATCACCAGGGATGCTACATCCGTCAGAGTGTGAGCTAGTGGTACAAGGATTTGCCGCCAGACTGAGCTCAATAAGTAAGCATATTGCTGCTAATGTAAGAATCATTATGTATGCGGGCGACTCTACAATAAGAAAGAAGTGGACAAATCATGACATTTCAATTAGAGGGAAACAATAATAACAATGAGTGATTAAGGTATTTACTCGTATTAATCTGTTCCAACATACCATGTCTCCGGCACACATACAAGCATGCACTCTAACACAACACACATACAAGCATGCACTCTTACACAAGACACATACACGCATGCACTCATGCAGACACGTCCTTAAATGATCTCAGCTGTTAATAGGACGTATAACAAAATAAAACAAACCAAAACAGTATCTTTTGTTTCTGCAGAAATAAGATTGTAATTATTTGAAACCGACTATGGATATATTCAATTCCTATGACGTAAGACATACATATGTATTATTGTTTCTTCTATTGATAAGTTCGCTGTTCCTGATGGCTGATTTAGTAGATAAATGGCAGCTTCAATGCGTTACGAGACGTCGATTAATTACATGTTCTTACGTCTTCAGCTACTTATCAGCATTTTAATCTCTGCTAGACCAGTTGCTTATTTTCTGCAAGTGGCGAATATGGGTTTAATAAATTGTCCTAATTTGTAAATGGTTTCCACCTACGAAGACTAATGCAAGAGATTACTATCGTATAGAAGTGTGAATAACAGGTGCTCGTTGAGAGTTACTATCATAGGTAGCTAACATCATAGATATAAACAAATATAGCATTGAAGACGAAAAATGTAGCTTTAACTGGAATAGTTAGCTGATTAGAAAACTACAGGAACTGAGGTCACACAAAAGCTAACTGAATCTCTTTAGGAAGTCATCGTTTACTTCATCAAGTGTGACACAAATCTTTGTCTCTAACACTAAAAGACACGGCGAACTTGTGGTCACGTTAAACGTAGTGTGTCTTCAGCTTCGGTTTTAATCTGATAAAAAACTGCGTACCTAATTTGTTTGTCAACGCAACGTAAAACCCGGATGCTAGGAACATATACTATGAATAAGCGAATGTGACATAAACTTTATAAAGAAGAGAAGCTGATATCTTACTACTGGGGAAAGGAATGTTAATCACGATATTAAAGTCGTCACGTTTACCTAACTGGTATTGAGATGAGAGATAAAGTCGAAATTTTGAAGGATGTACGCCAATTCTTATTAATCGAGTAAGAGGCCAAACATCATTATATATCTGAAATGAATTAAAATCAGAGGATAGTTTTTTTTATATCTTGTTCAATTAAATTCCGATTAATATTAATATTGATTCACGACGACATCGGCATCGTTTGTATAGCTGTTCATTCGTTGATGCTAATAGTGTGATGCTTTACACAATGAGTATTTTCCATTGACAACAAGGTAACCGAATTTGTTTTTGTTTAGTTCCTAAAAACGCGGTAGAATTGAACTAGATAATGTAAATATTTCTACATCTCCAGCTTAATTTGATGAATGGGGGTATAAACTGTAGAGTTGTCGAGGTTTTCATGAATGTAATTCCTTACAAAGATTGAACCATTCTTGAGATCTTAAGAAGTTCTCCAAATAATCATGTTGCATACACAGACAGATAACTGATATTTAATGTATGTAACATTTGATCTCCGACTTGTACTTTCCTGTACTTGGTAAATATATCGAAGAGGACTAAAATAAAGCTCCCGAACGTATGAAGTAGAGCGTATTGACTTTAGATAACGACTGTGAAGATTAAGCTTACTAACACTTGTGGATCCAAGGACATGTTTGAAACTGGTCAATTAGTATGTTCTATTATTTTAAGAACCTAATAAGTACACTGATATTTCGTGAAAGACAGCAATGCCAGGTTTGCATTTTACTCGGACCTATGTTAAGAAACTAATTGTTGAAACAACTTCATTATTTTCTATTTCGAAACTTGTTTTTAAGTACTTTTTTATTTTGATATTTAATGTATTTACTTGTTTGATTTATATATTATTTGTATGGTATGATTTAAAACGCATTAGTTTATACAGAAAAAAGTCACAGGTACTTACTTAGGAGCTGTAGGTCGATTAGGAAGGGTCAGACAAAGGAGGAAACGTAGTTCTTACTCTGATAACCTGCTCTTATCACAGAGACATGAGCCTTAATCACAATCTGACCGTACTGACTTGGTCATGGAGCTAACAATGTCAATCCTTTATGTTGTATAGTCGGCGAGTGACGACCTTTATAGTTTCGACGTAGTTTTCTTATAATATCATAATAATCACTTTTTTTTTTTTTTTAACATATAGCATTGACATTTTGGAATCCTCACGTAGCTAGAGTACTGTGTGCTCTGAACGTCTCATGTGTCAAGCGCCATGGAAATAGGTCAATTGTAAACATTTCCAGGATAGCACAGATTTCTTTATTTCAATTCAACTGACAGATCATCCTGTATACCAATTGATAACAAGATGTGATATGTATTTAAACAGAACATTTATACAAGTAAAGAAGTGTTAATGAATACAATATGTTGTTAAAGGTTTCTGATATCTGGATAGTAAGTAATATATCAATTCAAAATATTCACATTGTTCCGAAATTAAAGTAAAATGTATCTTTAAAAGGCTGTTCTTGTGTACATTTATGAAAACAAAACACGTCATGTAAAATAAAAAAAAATAAAAAAAGCGTCGAATGATAGGAACAAAAATCGATGCGAAAAGATAACGACAGGAACTGTGGTGACATAAATAAAACATATAAAATGAGAGTTTTTCTGTCAATGTTTTAAAACATATGTGAGAATAACCAAACACAAAAATGTGAAACTCTTCCTTGAATAATATGCATGCTAAGTGCTATAGAAGTGGTGACAAACATTTCTGATTACTAATGTATTACAGGTGCTACAATGTATTACAGGTGCTACAATGTATTACATGTGCTACAAAAAGTTTACAAACGCTTCCCCATACATCACATATATTGTCTAGTATCACAACATACTAAGTGTAACTTTCTCCATAGGAAAACAACACTTTAAATGCTACAGAAACTACACTGAATGTTATTTCTGATCGCTTGCTGTAGAACTGATTCACTTACAAAAATGTAATATACCTTTCTCAATTATAATGTCAGGAATTCCTACAAAATGTAATTTACAATTTTGTGTTAGATGATAAGTGTCATTTCTAAAGATGCAAATTTTCTCAATTATCATTTCAGGAATTTTCAGGAATTTTCTTAAATGTGCTTATTTCCTAATTTCGTTCCTGATGATTGCGCGGGCCATTAGATTATCACTTATTTCATGTTAGGACAGTTTGAGAGAAACACTATCATTAGTTCCATTGTGACGAAGACAGAAGTTAAGATCCCGGTAAATCTATCCTCTGTTTGAGATTTCGGTCTACATCACATACGGGTGGTAGATTCTATTCATTAAACGTTATACCAATATACAAACCTTCTCTTATATGTTCTCAAAAATTGTTGTCATAGTTTAAATTATATTGGTGTTATCTTTAAAAGAATCTCAGAAAATATGCTGTTTGATATTAATGTCTTAGATTTGCATTTTTTTTAAAGTCAGCGGAGTTCTTCCGTTATCGCTTTTTTTGTCGCTCATAGTTTGGTATCTGATATTATTTGTATTCCTTCTATTTCATCAGGTTGAAAAGCCCTGTTGTCAACTGGATTTGCATTTAGATCGTATCTATTGGTGGATTGTTCCTTAAGAGGGTCGTCTTTGCACCCTTTATGCTAATGGGTTCTACAGCAACACACAAACACGCTTGTGACGCGATCAATGGCCCTGTCGTATGGAGCTAGGGAGTGCATCCCCTCTGGAAGAAAGTCCCAACTTTGTAGTTTTGGAGGCAATGCTTTCGGTCGCTTATTTTGGAGAACATTAATTACGATTATAATAACAATAAAAACAAGGAATAGGATACCAATACCCATAAAAACTTCAACCCCTGCTAGCGAAATGGAAAAAATGAGCGCTGGAAACAGAAAATACAGAAGAATTAAGTATGCAACAGCAAACCAGCGGTACTTGGCAGTGACGTTGCCCATGTATTTGGCGGCGTTTATAGGCAGCTTTCGAAGCGGATATATGATGTAAAATAGGAAAACTCCTGTAAGTTTAAAGAACAGATGACATAGCGCTAGTTTAATAGATTCGTAAAAGTTGCCCGACGATGCAAATGCTGCTAGAATGCTGGTACTCGTCGTGCCAATGTTCGACCCAAGGGTCAGTGGGTACATTCGGTCGATGTGGATGACACCGACGCCGACCAGAGGTGTGAGTGCCGACGTGAAGACGGAGCTACTATGAACAAGCATGGTAAGGCCTGCTCCCACGACAATAGCTACCAGGCCAGACAGGAATGCCATACAACCCTCGAATTCAGCGTTAAAGAGTTTACGGGTGAGACGCGCAATATTTCCTTTCAGGATGGAGGCGAGTAACTTTACGATCAGTATAAGGCACGTACAAAGAACCAGAAAGGATGCCACCAGGAGCAGGGTGCCAACAGCCGCATCACTCCATGTCGTCCCTGAGAACAGGTAGTCACCTAAACAAGACGACGCACATGTGGTCACTTACATTTGACACCGATAGATTCATTTAACATGTGTTGATTTAAGATGACTGACGTGTTTCAAATGAATCTAGAACAGCACACTCCTATTTCTCAGTGTTTCTATATCGTTCCAAAATTACATATAAAATCCATATTGAATATATAATTCCTTTTGATTATCATGTAGTTGAAAAATCAAATTAATGAAAGATATATTTGGATTTTTTTCAATATTAAATTTACTGATATACATGTATAGCGTTGATATTTATGTATTGGATGTACACTGATTTAGATAAGGTATAAAAACCTGACTGGAATATCTAATGGTGCATCTTGTCACAAGCCACTGCATTTTCAATTGTCTTAATCAATACAGTGCTGAACTAAGCTTAAGATAAAAATGACATTTTTCTCATTGTTTTGAAAAAAACCAAAAACACCAGTGTGAGTTTGATTCGTGGTGTTTTCCTTTATAATCTTTACCGTATTTTTCTTTTTGTATTTTTTTTTATAAAGTTTATATGATGCTTACCTTCCTTTATTATACTAAAATTAGCCACCTCTTCTCCTATGGCAATATTTTTTATAGCAGTGTTGTCGAGCTGAAATATTGATATAAAGGTTAGCATTGTAACAGTTCGATAATTTGTCTAACTTCACACAGAAATAATTTGTATTGGATATTTTTTATGAGAGAATTAAAATAATGTCTACATTTTTTGCCTTATCATGTTAATTCATTTTTTTATCATCACTACAGATTATGAAGCTCATAATACGACGAAATTAAGAACAAGGAAATATAAGTGGCCCTAATCATAACAGTTTCAACACTACCAGCTTTTGTGATACCAATTTTTAAAATATTCCAAATAGCTGTAAGCCAATATTTTTCATACTCACTGTACCGTACATGTATGCATACTTACCGACACAATTCTGTCAGTAAGTGGATCGGTGAGAGCATTCAGGAAGACCGGATTGTTTATTGTGCCATTGTGTTCAGTGACACGAAATGTTTGTATAATGGCGTTCGATACTTCGAACATGGATATGACCTCAACCGGAAGTAAAATGATCACGCACAACCAATTGAACATGTCGTGCAACGTAGCTGCAGCGAACGCCCTTCGAAACTGGTTCCGGTCGGCTGTCTGTCCCATGGCCACTATGGTATTGGTAACAGTCGTACCAATGTTCGTGCCCATTACAATCGGTATGGCCATCTTTACAGTCCGAACAGCACACAACAAGATGATATAACAGGTTCAATATTTATGAAATATCTACCATCTACTTAAACTTTCTTTCATACTAAAAGAGCTGGATACGGTTGATGTGCTGGTTCTTCCTAGCTCTACATGGCTCTTTTGTTTAACTTCGATCTACACAAACAAATGAACCTAAACTTAAGCACAAACCTTTCACGTACCCCGAACGCATGTAAATTACTTAAGCAATACATCAGATCTAAAAATTAAAATGTGACTATTTCTTTGTGTTTCATCTTAACACTTAAATTGCAAAAGAAAAAGAAAAAAGAGAACAAGATTGATCATGTAAAAACAGCGGATTGTAACTTACTTTCAGCAGATACCATCGAAACCACGATAGAGGTGGACGTGGAAGAATTCTGCACGAGCACGGTGGCGAGGACGCCGATCATGAGGCCCGCAATAGGGTTTTGGAGTACCTCATTATTGGAAAGTGCTTCCCCAGCTGCATTCCCTAGACTCAACGATATACAACTATTATTAATATTCCACTATATAACACTTCATCAATTGTGACAAAAACCAAGCTTGTTTGGATTTCTTAGCCCTACATGTGGGTACAGAAACAAGAGCACACTATCTAGTCCTCTGAATTGTACCTTCAAGGATACACACTTTTTTGTTCATGACCTGATGAGCAATTTCCATCACAACAAGTAGATGACCGTATCATAGGAAAGAATAACGAAGGGGAAATGCGTTTTGAATAACGGTGTTGTTATCTAAGCTAGCCTGATAAAATTCTTAACCTGTTTGCTTTTAAACGAATAAATATATTATTCCAGCCAAATTATAGTTTGTGAAAGAACGATAGGTTTTTTATGTTTAAATTTTACAAAAAGAAGAAGAATTGTTCTGGTTTTCATTTTAAGATTGAGGAATATTATGGAACTATCTTCATATAATTAAGAATATAGCGGTCGCCAGTTTCATAAGTCATTAGTCGTTATAATTCTATAGGTAAACAGTGTCATTAGTCGTTATAATTCCATGGTTAGTACAGTGTCATTAGTCGTTATAATTCTATGGTTAGTGCAGTGTCATTAGTCGTTATAATTCTATAGGTAAACAGTGTAATTAGTCGTTATAATTCTATAGGTAAACAGTGTAATTAGTCGTTATAATTCTATAGGTAAACAGTGTCATTAGTCGTTATAATTCTATAGGTAAATACAGTGTCATTAGTCGTTATAATTCTATAGGTAAACAGTGTCATCAGTCGTTATAATTCTATGGTTAGTACAGTGTCATTAGTCGTTATATTTCTATAGGTTAATACAGTGTCATTAGTCGTTATAATTCTATAGGTAAATACAGTGTAAACAGTTTCATTAGTCGTTATGATTATATAGGTAAGCATTGTCATTAGTCGTTATAATTCTATGGTTAGTACCGTGTTATTAGTCGTTATAATTCTATGGTTAGTACAGTGTCATTAGTCGTTATATTTCTATAGGTTAATCCAGTGTCATTAGTCGTTATAATTCTAAAGGTAAACAGTGTCATTAGTCGTTATAATTCTATAGGTAAACAGTTTCATTAGTCGTTATAATTATATAGGTAAGCATTGTCATTAGTCGTTATAATTCTATAGGTAAATACAGTGTCATTAGTCGTTATAATTCTATGGTTAGTACAGTGTCATTAGTCGTTATAATTCTATAGGTAAATATAGTGTCATTAGTCGTTATGATTCTATAGGTAAATAAAGTGTCATTAGTCGTTATAATTCTATAGGTAAACAGTGTCATTAGTCGTTATAATTCTATAGGTACATACAGTGTCATTAGTCGTTATAATTCTATGGTTAGTTCAGTGTCATTAGTCGTTAAAATTCTATGGTTAGTACAGAGTCATTGGTCGTTATAATTCTATAGGTAAATACAGTGTGATTAGTCGTTATAATTCTATGGTTAGTACAGTGTTATTAGTCGTTATAATTCTATGGTTAGTACAGTGGCATTAGTCGTTATAATTCTATAGGTAAATATAGTGTCAGTAGTCGTTATGATTCTATAGGTAAATAAAGTGTCAATAGTCGTTATAATTCTATAGGTAAACAGTGTCATTAGTCGTTATAATTCTATAGGTAAATATAGTGTAATTAGTCGTTATTATTCTATAGGTGAATATAGTGTCATTAGTCGTTATAATTCTATGGTTAGTGCAGTGTTATTAGTCGTTATAATTCTATGGTTAGTACAGTGTTATTAGTCGTTATAATTCTATAGGTAGTGTCATTAGTCGTTATGATTCTATAGGTAAATAATGTGTCATTAGTCGTTATAATTCTATAGGTAAACAGTGTCATTAGTCGTTATAATTCTATAGGTAAATATAGTGTCATTAGTCGTTATTATTCTATAGGTGAATATAGTGTCATTAGTCGTTATAATTCTATGGTTAGTACAGTGTCATTAGTCGTTATAGTTCTATGGTTAGTACAGTGTCATAAGTCGTTATAATTCTATAGGTAAATATAGTGTCATTAGTCGTTATAATTATATAGTTAAACAGTGTCATTAGTCGTTATAATTCTATAGGTACATACAGTGTCATTAGTCGTTATAATTCTATGGTTAGGACAGTGTCATTAGTCGTTATAATTCTATGGTTAGTACAGTGTCATTAGTCGTTATAATTCTATGGTTAGTACAGTATCATAAGTCGTTATAATTCTATGGTAAGTACAGTGTCATTAGTCGTTATAATTCTATGGTTAGTACAGTGTCATTAGTCGTTATAATTCTATAGGTAAACAGTGTCATTAGTCGTTATAATTCTATAGGTCAATACAGTGTCATTAGTCGTTATAATTCTATGGTTAGTACAGTGTCATTAGCCGTTATAATTCTATAGGTAAACAGTGTCATTAGTCGTTATAATTCTATGGTTAGTACAGTGTTATTAGTCGTTATAATTCTATAGGTAAATACAGTGTCATTAGTCGTTATAATTCTATAGGTAAATACAGTGTCATCTCTCAAAGGAAGTCTAACTGCTGCTTGTCCGATGTTCGTGACATGTATGATCATCTAACTTATTTGATAGTTAATGTAAAAGGGAAAATTGTGAGCATTCTTATAAAGATTATGTTCATAAAAACAGTAAAGATATCAGTTTTAAAGTCAACCCCATTTATGTCAGTGTGTGGCAATACCTTTTTCAATTTTGTGGTTTTTTTTTTATTTACGTCGTTTGATAAGCAACGTAGTAATATCTAATGTTGTATAAGACCAGGGTGGCTTCGATACTAACCTCCCAGGAGCTTGAAGGAGGCACCTAGAATATCCAGTGAACAGATGAAAAGGTACAGAAGTCCAACTAGAAGTACTGGTTTCAGGATCGCCATCATGACCCACTTCACCCGCTCTCGGTCTGATAGGTCTGAATCCCAAATAACACATGTAAATATTAGACAATGCAATTATCAGTAAAGTGTCGTTAATAATATCAAGATCAGTTAACAGCATTAAAATACAATTAAATAACCGCATCTAACCTATACTATGTTCCTGAAGAGGAAAATCAATTTCGCACTAACTGGAATTAAGAATTTTCAATAGATTCTTTTTAAATGAAATGATTTCAGTTAAATCGAGGGAAATTATTTCATTGTTCCAATTACCTTTACATCAATATTTAAGCATTAAACTGTTTTTGTATGGTATTTATGATTCAAATAGATCATAAATACCATACAAAAACAGTTCAATACTTATATTTACGTTTTCTCTGCCTCTTATGTTATTTTTTAACTTATAATTCATATTTAAAATTAAAAATGCCCGCCTTATCGACAGTCCACACAATTTCGTTCAATAGTTTGAACAGCGTGTTTGTCGCGTGCTGATTGGCAAACAAAGTAGTACTTTGAAATTTTAACAGACACTCCAATGTTATTCCACAATTCAGTATCGATACAATTGCGTATGATATGTCTATAAGGTGATTTAAGCTTATCAATAGAACTCTGAGCTGAAAGTTCGATTTGAAATTGTTTCGATTTTTCCCCGGAACAAATTTAGCACATGGATAAATACAGGTGAACACCGTAAATCCAACCTTGCCCTCCACGAGGGAGTTATTTTTGGAAGGCAAGTCGAACTTTTCTCTTTGCTCATTTTGTGAAGAATCCAGACGTGAATTTATTTGTTGATTGTATGGGAATCTGACTACAGTCTGTAAATTCTATAACAGCCTTGCTATATGACATGGCGTCAGAAACTGAGGAAACAGTGGCTGCGAGTCGCGGGGGATGTCTGAAATGTTTATGTGTGCTGTGACTCATATCAGTAGGTCTGTAACATATGTGTCAGTAGATCTATGAAAAATGTGTATTTCAGACATTTGTAACGAACCACTGTTGATCAGTGTAGTGTAACAGACGATATTTTTGATAAATTGCATGAGCGTTAAAATTGTTTCCATTGCCGGCATTGGTGATTTCAACCGATGTGCATTTTGTACGATATTGCAGACCTTGGTCTTTTTTTTGTTGTAATTAAAGTATTTTTTATTTTATTTTTTATTTTGCACTTAAATTTATAATGACATTGTCAAATCTCCCAATGCCTAGCGATATTTCAGCAGCCGTCATGTTTATTTACATTGGATATTGTAGTTCCGGTCAGTGTTGTATTAATACGCTAAGAATTATGTCTCGTGCTGCATGGTAATTAAAGTCCCATCAACGACACAGCTTCCAACGAGGCTATATAGTGACAATGCCATGCAAATGTAAATATATCACTTTCGTTTATCATTTGGTGTTTGGTATCTGTTAGCCATTTTGCTTGAGGTCAGAAAAAAATAGATCTACTCGTGTCAGGCACGGAACGTCATTATTGAACTGTCAGAAGTACTATTATATGACCTATATTGTAGTTCAACATTGTATTAGTCATCAATCTATATATCAGCTATTCTAAATATCTGGCACCTTTCCATTTCTTATCGTCGTCCGGTATGTCAGTGAGAGCGTACGGGTCTACTTCAACCTCGAGAACCGGCCCAGTACTATTGGTTGATTCCACCACTAAGGGTCCGGAGACAGTTAAAACCGACGAAGCCGATCCCTTCATTACTTTTGGTGAAGAAACTGATACAAGAATAAATAATATATATATATATATTTCTTTTGGTAAAGGAATGTTTTGTAAGAGCAATGTAAGTAATGTGAGTACTTAAAATTAATAATCATTACATTCATGTAGTTTATTTACAACTCCTTCTAGATAATGAATATAATAGACATATTTAAAAAAATCAATTTTGTCAATATATTTGATAATGTAACAGACCAATTCCCAGCGACACTAAGAGAATTTTAACGTACAACAAATGTATGACAAAGAGAACTGACCACCTATTTAAATAAATCAATGGCAATAAGAATAATGACCATGTATCTCAATTAATTTCATAGCTTAATAATTTTAAAAAAAAATGACCATGTATCAAAATAAAAGACTGACGATAACAGAACTGACCACTCATCTCTATAAATAACTTAAATGACAATTAAGTTGAAATACGATCATGCCGCTTGTTGTAAATAAACTACATGAATGTAAATTTTATATTTGTCACCATGTATTTTACATTATTTTCATATGCATATAGAGACATCAATGTCTGCGTCCACTGATTTCCTATGGAAGTCCATTAAATTTCAATAGAAGAATGATAATCTTACAGTAAATTTGTTGAATATTAACCAATTTCTGACTGTACATTGCATACACAAAGTTATTTCCTTTTGAAACATTGTGATGATAATCAACTAATCTTTCCAATCTATGTTATGATTGTGAACATTATCACATTAATCATCTAATGAAACATTGAGTAAGTCGCTGCAGAGAACCGAATTAAATATTTTATACACTACATGAGCAGTTCAGGTCTCGGAACTGCCAAAGAAAATGACGAACGTTTATAAGAAAAAATAATGATTTAAATCTTTAAAGTGTACGGAAACATACAAGACATACAGCAAAAGAGAAAGGGAAGGTGCCTGTAATTCGTGTTTGCCTAGACTTACATTTAATCACTGGTGTACCTTCACTAACATTAAATTACTGATGTCTTCACTAACATTTAATTACTTACGTTCCTTCACTAACCGTACTTATGTACCTTCACTAACATTACTTATGTACCTTGACTAACCGTACTTATGTACCTTCACTAACATTTATTTACTTATGTACCTTCACTAACCGTACTTATGTACCTTCTCTAACATTACTTATGTTCCTTTACAAACATCACTGATGTACCTTCACTAACATTTAATTACTAACGTTCCTTCATTAACCGTACTGATGTACCTTCACTAACATTACTTATGTACCTTGACTAACCGTACTTATGTACCTTCACTAACTTTTAATTACTTATGTACCTTGACTAACCGTACTTATGTACCTTCTCTAACATTACTTATGTTCCTATACAAACATTACTGATGTACCTTCACTAACATTTAATTACTTATGTACTTTCACTAACATGTATTTACTGCTGTACCTTCACTAACATGTATTTACTGCTGTACCTTCACTAACATGTAATTACTTATGTATCTTCACTAACACTTAATAACTTATGTACCTTCAGTAAAATTTAATTACTTCAGTACCCTAAATGACATTTAATTACTTATATGCCTTCGCTAACATTACTTATGTACTTTCAATAACATGTATTTACTGCTGTACCTTCACTAACATGTAATTACTTATGTTCCTTCACTAACACTTAATTACTTATTTACCTTCGCTAACATTTAATTACTTCAGTACCCTAAATGACATTTAATGACTTATCTTTCTAAAATGGCATGTTACTACTTCCATACCTTAACTGATTTTTTTTCAAAACGTCAACGCAATGATAAAATATTTTACGGTTATTTCTTTATGCTGAATTCCTCGGTAACGTTCCTTCTGTAACGTAATGTCAATGATAATATACTTATATATTTACAATTGCCACTGTTTCGGAATCGATAACCTAAGTGTGGGCACGTCTGTTTATTTCTCAACAACTAGACTAAATGTTATGTATTCGACTCTTTTAAAGGTGTTATATTAAAAAGAAAATATTGTAAATACAAGGTTTAACCTTTTATTTTGTTTAGTTTATGAGATAATAAATCCAATGGAGCAGTCGGTAAATTGTTCGTAAACGCGAATCGGTAAATTGTTCGTAAACGCGAATTTACCACGTGCTCCATTGGATTTATTATCTCATAAACTGAACTAAATAAAAGGCTAAACCTTGTATTTACAATAAACAACATTAACTATAAAAAAGCAATGAATACCTGAAGCTAAAAAGAATTATACCAACCAAATGTGCAAATAACTGCAGTAAAGATAAGAATTAAAAAATAAATAAATATGCATACCTGGAAGATGTAAGAAAACCCTGGTGAGTTCACGTCTGACTTGTGCTACGCCTGTATTTGATATCTACCACAAACGCATTCAGAGGCTAACAGACTCCTGAAAAATAAATTAAAGTCAAAACAAAATAGTTCCGATACTAACAAACCCTACCCCGTATACGTTCGATTTATATGTACAGCGTTTGCTGATTTGACACTATTTTTATCATTGTTTCTGTGTGGCTTTTAAACGATGATGAACAGCGAAAGTTTCACTCATGCTAGCTTGCAAATGTACGTAGATACAGGGTATGACTATTGTATGACTGTACATAAATTGTAGAGCCCCTTAAAGATTTCATTTTGTGTAATGTAATATTTTACTTTATATGGAAACCTGTCAAACTGATCCCTATTACCGGTCGTACAGGATAGATAAACAAAGAAACCACCTGTCTCGGGAAATTAAAAAAGCACATGACAAAGATAAATGAAACGACTATAACATAACATTATGTTATATTGATATAGATAACACAGCGCCGATACAAAAGAACAAGACTTGATAGACTTCAAAGTTTATATTTGATAGACAGCTACGCAATTAAGCAGTGTGAAGTCATCGTGTTACTGAGTTTAATATTGAGGTTTATAGATTGGAAACTTTTTTGTTGTACCTGCAAGTAGACTTTTTTAGAAAACGTGTATAATCTAGGAATTCAATATAGACCGACTCCTTCGGTTTAATAATTAGAAACTAAATAACTGATCAGTATCTTATTGTAAATATATAACATATGGCACGTGTAATCAGAATTACTGTATTGTCAGTGAACATCGACTTACCTGTGATTAATTCTTATTTCAGTACGACAGATGAAATTATATCCAAGAAAAACATTCATCTTGTTCACAAAACAGTCAGCCAAGTTTTTGATGAAGTACTCCTTTAACTTGTTTTCTTCAAAACGAAGTTTAGCAATAATGACAGTTGAATGAACAAGTACGATAGTACGCAATAACTGCATCAGTAGGCAATGTCACTATAAACTATTATATCACAGCGCTCTGCGTTCCAATAGAATTATCATGCACATTTTACAAGCGTTGTGTAAGGCACCCTTAATATCCCCTGAGTGTGTTTAATGGAGTAACATGATAAACAGTGATACAAAGTTAGTCATGCTTGACATTTCTGACCTATTTTGCAAATGACAAACAAAAAATGAGAAAGCTGAATATAAAAATATATACTCCAACCTGATATTATATAACATATACATTTTATGCATGTTTTAGGTACATTTTATCTTACTCTACTGATGTAATAGTGTCATAACTATGATTTTATAGTACTTTTGGTAATAAGTAATAATTTTGTACATTTTAAGATTTCTATAAGACATCCGTATCGTGATATTCTAGCCGCGCGTCAAGAGTTTTGAATGAAAGCGAGTGTTGTGTAAGAGTCACGTGATGTGTTGTAAACCTGTTTGCTTCGGTTACGTGTCTTGTCTATTTTTACTGTGGTCATTGTTTAAGTTTTACTTGTGGCGCGTTATGGTCAGTGTTGGGCAGTGTGTGTGGTCACAGAGGCTAGACGTGTTTCAACATAGATTCTAGAGTTTTGGTATTTAAAGATCATGAATTGATTGGAATTGAAATGTAAGTACTTAAATAAAAATATTAATTTTCGTATGTTATTGAACAGTATAAAAGTAATATTTTTAATTAGCTTAATTTTTGGGTAATTCTATTTTTGGATTATTTGATTTTTTCTGACATATGCATTTTTGGTGAGTTTATTATTTCAAATAACAGAAGTGATCCTACTTTGCGATGTTTTATTTATATATGGTTTTCATTATATTTGTTTATGGAATTTAAATAGAACACTCACTGATGATCATGAGAGACAGACATGTAACTGTGACCCCCACTTAAAACCTTTGTATAAAGACTATTGTCTGAAACTCCTCTTCATGTAGAAGAGGTAGGTATCTTGTATATGTTGTCCATGTTATATATATATAAGTGATAAATTTATGAAGATAAATTTTTGAGATGAACTATGTTTAACTGTTAATTCTTATGAACTATTAGAGTTTGTTAGTGTGTTCACCCTCTTAGCCGAACAGTTTGAATTTGTAAGTAGAACTTCATTTGATGTGCAAGTTCTCTGTCTTTTCTGTCAGTTTCCGGTGATCTTTGATAAATTGGTCCCCGTATCCAATCGAGACATGCAGTCACAATCTTAAGCACTTCCTCAATTATATAAATGAAGCAATTCTATATTAATTGAGTTCTAAAATTATCCAATGCTTAAGACGGCCATGATATAATCCATCGGGATCTAGTAACTGTTCTGTCAATGTTAGCCTGTAGACATTCCAGATGCCTATAACATTGGCAGGACATATCTAAAGCCACGATCAACGACTACATTATCGTCTTGCTCCAACCAAGTGAGCTTGCATCATTGTGGCTTCCTTAGAATGGTTCTACTGTGTCCAAAATGTAGCCATCAGGTAGAGCTATGCTCATGAATTTAAGAAAATTACGCTCCTTCTGGCAACCGAAAGACATTCTCTGAAGCTTATGGTCAGCTCTTATTTTAGCTCACTTGGTCCGAAGGGCAAAGTGAGGATATGGGATGGTGCAGCGTCCGTCGTCCGTCCGTCCGTCGTCAATATTTTACTTTAAACAACTTCTTCTTAATACCCGCAAGGCTTAGGTTGATGATATTTGGCCAGAAGCAAACTGGGATAAAGGGCTACAAAGTTTGTTCAAATAAATGACCTTCACCTATCTATTTTCAAGGTCACAGGGGTCAAATATGTTAAAAACTTTATACAACTTCTTCTGAATAACTAAGAGGCCTAGGATAATGATATCTGGCAAGTAACATGCTGGGATGAAGGGCTATCAAGTTTGTTCAAATGAATGACCTTGACTGATATTCAAGGTCACAGGGGTCAAATAAGTTTAAAATCTTGAAACAACTTCTTCTGAATAACCAAGAGGCCTAAGATGATGATATTTGGCAAATAGCATGCTGTGATTAATGGCTACCAAGTTTGTTCAAATAAATGACTTTGACAAATATTCAAGGTCACGGGGGTCAAATACGTTTGAAACCTTTATACAACTTTGTTCAAAACGACTTCTCAATTAGCAAAAGGCCAAGGGTGATGCTATTTGGCCATTAACAGGCTGGGATGAAAGGCTACCAAGTTTGTTAAAATGAATGACCTTCGCCCATATTCAAGGTCACGGTGATCAATATATGTTTAAATCTTTAAATGACTTGTTCTGTATAACCAAAAGTTCCAGGGTAATGATATTTTGGCAAAAGCATGCTGGGTTGGAAAACTATAAAATGTGTTCAACCTAATGTCCTTGCTCGACATTCAAGGTCACAGGCGTCATATGTTTAAATCTTTTAACAGGTTCTTATGAATCAAACACTGACATTCTGCCTCTAGCTGTATTTTAGTCCACGTTTAAGATTACAAGTGTGAGATTAATACCAGGTGAGCGATTCAGGCCCATTGGGCCTCTTGTTTAATATGAATATATGTACCATCTTTTAAGGCAGTCACTTTGTCTCCAAATAATGTTTCTGGGAATAAAGTATTGTGTGAACTTATATGTTCCCTACTCAAATGGTAAGGCCCAAGGAACACTGGAACTTTCAATGCTTGCACTACAGAATGAAAGGTTTTTGAGAGAGAGTAAAAGCGGAACACATAACTACAAGAGATGTGTAGTTTTGGTATATATTGAAGAAGAACGAAAATTGACTATGTATGAATGGATTTTGAGAAATGGTTCTTTGAAGGTTGTGTCCAAGCTTTGTAGTGAGTGTCATCCAAGAGACGAAACTTGAGAGTGAAGGCTGATTGATTCTTTGATAAGATGTACGACACTTCTAAAAGGTCATCAATTATTTCAGATGGCCTACTTCATAATTGAGAATTCAAAGGCTCTCTTCCTTATAGTATAACCTGTGTACAAGGGTTCAGGTCATTGCCAATTAAAAGAAATGAGAATACACATGATGACGCAGAACACCACAATTTGTGTGTGAAAATTAACTGATGCCTGGCACGTTTTTGCAGAATTGTGGATTTGCTTCCCTTCGAATTAAAATTGTTAAAACAAAGACAACATTTTTTTATGTGAATATGACCCTTTAAACAGGTCCTTGATTGTTAAGAAAGGAAAATTTCTGGAAGTTTCATCTTCAAAACGTTATTTTTCAGATTCTCTTTTGCGCAGATACCTTATAAAGCACTTCCGAACTTCTTAATTTGAGCAATATATGCCAATTTTAGTTAGTATAACCAAACGCCATTTATATTGTGGATTTTTTTTTACATTTTGTGTACCTTAACATATACCAGATTTCGCGAAGATACGATGACGATCTTCACCAATACATTTACTCTACATTATGAGATGAATATTAACAAATGGGTATGAAATATCCCATAAAAGCAGTGTAAAAATGAAAGTCAGATGATAAAATGTATAAGAACAAATTCTAAAAAGGGACAAGGATATCATGGCAGAGTTAAAGGGATTTGGAATTACGTAAGAAATAAGATTATCTAGTGTATTACACCACCTCTGCTAAGGACACGATACTCCCGAGGACGCAGACAGCACCAGTGGATATTTTAACTGTAATGTAGCTTATCGTGTGACAGATGCATATCTCTCGTACACTTACTGCCTTTATTTGTGCTTTTTCTAATGATAACAATCGTTCAACTTGCATGGCACGCGTTTTCACACGTCTGGCAACCTTATCTGACGTTAATCAAAACGATAAAATTCTTTCGTTATGCCTCAAGTTAAGTAATGTTACTGTTTAAAGGCCTAATATCAAAATATATTTATCGTTGAGATAAATCAGGAATAACTAATTGACGTCCTCCTGCCAAAGCAAGGCCCTGAAAACATTAATAACATAATAACTTAGATTTTAAATTGTCTTTTTCCGTTCTTTTTTTATATAAAAAGTATAAACGTCAGATTATCGGGTGGTCAGTTTTGAACATTTTGTTTATTCATTATAAATTCGTTACAATGATTATTGTCTTATTGTTTTATTATTTGCGTTAAGTTTGTCGTACTTTAACCACCTGTTCTAGGCGATATCTTCTGGTATATTATCGTATTAATATACAGCCTGTTGTTTTGACGATGTTAACGAACCTAAGGGAATGTATTGTGATGTATGTACCTTCTGTTAATTACCATGCATCACAGAAACATGACCGTTGCGTCCCCGCCAATCCGTCACCTTGTTCGCTTATGTCCCGCCTTATATAGCTACAACCCCTCAACAACTTAACGCGTTTGACAGCCTTAAACACTTCCAACAGATTGACATCAGTTCGAACACCTCTGTTTGGGGTTCAGGACATACAAATTAACTTCGATAGGATATGACAATTTTTATTAATAAGTTGTAATGAACTTCTTGATGTAGTTGATATAGTATTGTATATGCGAGTAAACGAGTAAGCTGACGAAAATCCGAAATCTGCTGGAAAGTGCAGGTAAATGTCACGTCGCTGCTAAAACTTCGGCGATCTTCTCCTGTTTTTGTTTACTTCCTTGTATTTGGGGATATCAAACATTATCATACGCAGTTTCCATCATGACCGCCACTGGAAAAGGTGCGAAATGTAAACAGATCATCAGTATTATTTTCAAGATATTCGTCGTGTTCGGCTTCCTTTACCTGTTCATCTGTGCGCTAGGATTTCTGGGAGATGCCTTTAAACTCGTGGGAGGTAAGTATCTCTCTTAATTTTACACATGTGATAAAACGTGTTGCTTGTGTTCTAATATTAGTGTCTAGATTAATACACATTTGGCTCCTCAACCCGGACCTTTCAATAGTCATCTGCCCGAGACGGTATCCTGCTGTCCAAAATTTGGTTAATATTTTTACAAAAAGTGTTGAATGATTTAATTAATTTTTTTCCTCGAGTTTTTACAATGCATAGTATTACTATTATAACATCCGCCTCCCTATCATCCTCGACTTGATATCAACCCTCGGGTTTTGGAATGATATCAGTGTCTTGTGATAATAAAAATTATAATATCAAAACAGTCACATTATAACCTCTAAATATACATAGTGAAACACAAAATTGCAGAATTTCTAGAAAGTGTTTACAGAATGATATTTAATTTAAATATCATATATGTCACATAAATACTACAGAAAACTTTATTTTTCTGTGAGTAAATGACTCGATAATATTGGATAGCAATAGATGACAGGTTGATTGTAAAAATCACGTTTTGAGAACATTGTTCTTTGTGTTCAATATTCGCATAATATTAGAGATGGTGTTCCCATTGATTTTCGATACCATCATGTACAATTATTTTATTAAAAAGTTTTTTCCAGTATCAAAGTAGTTATGAAGTTTACGTAAAAAGCGACCCTGAAAAAAAGATGTTTATGTGCTAGAAGAATAAAGAAAATAGAGCTTCAAATTAGCGTTGTGATCAAAATGTGTCACTGCACTTAGTCAAACATTTATTACTTAGCATTCTTGCTACTGACATGTCACAACGAGGTAATTAAACATATAGATCAGTTTATTTTGAATCTCATCCGTCCTACACCACGCAAAATGTGTATCGCTCCTTATCTTACTCAAAATCAGGGTGTGATGTTGAAGGCTCTTATTTCATAATACTATTCTCTTTGTTATGATGTAAACGTTAGCAATGTTTCATCGTATACAAACATTCTCCATGTCCGTATACGTTGTAGGTCTCTTGCTAAGCTTACATCGCAGATATCTTACACAAAATACATTGAATATCTCTTACTAAACAAACATTGTGTATCTCTAAACATACATTGTGTATCTCTTAGCATGAATTGCATATTTCTTATTATGTATATTGTTTGTCTCTCAGTATACCGCTTACCAATAATGTGAGCAAACTTTGCATATATCTTACAAATCTTATATTGTTTATCTCTTACAAAGATTACATTGTATATCTCTAACGAATCATACATTGTATATTTCTTACTACGCATACATTGTATATCTCTAAATAAGCATACGTTATATATCTTACAAAGCTTGCATTGTATATCTTTTACAAAGCTTACATTGTATATCTCTAACGAATCATATATTGTATATCTCTAACTAAATATACATTACATATTTACTAAATATACAGTATATATTTCTTACTAAATATACATTATATATCTTTAACTTATCATACATTATATATCTCTTACTAATTATATAACCATACGTTGTATATATCTAAGCTTACATTACATACCTCTAATTAAGCATACATTGGATATCTCTAAGCGTACATTGTATATCTCTAACTTAGCATTCATTTTTTCTCTACATTAATGGTTCTTCACTTGCTAAGTAAACACTGTAAATTTCATACTGAGCATGAATCAAATGTCATGCATTTGCAGTAAGACATAAAAATCTGTGATTTTAATAATGATTTTATTGGAAACTATAATACTATTAAGATATTAATCTTGAACGACGTGATTTCATATTTCTGGTAAAGGCTATACTAACCCTGTAATATAGTATTCCTTTAGTTCTGTACCGTTAAAGTGAAAAGTTTTGCTCGATTACCCACCGACAACCCAGACCCGAAACAACCAAGAAACGTTATAAACGTTGTTTTCTTAGTAGGATGTTATAATTGTTGACATCAAAACTCTACTTTTATTACATTTCTGAAACAGAGACGAAAAATATCAGTTATAGTAATATATTGATAATATCGTCATTTGTTCTCTACACCACAAGGAAAGACGGCGGGCAAAGCATTTCGTGAGAACGAGCTGCTATCGAACCCCGTGGCGGGCCTCATGATCGGTGTACTGGCTACTGTACTACTTCAAAGCTCCTCCACAACCACCTCTATCATCGTCACTATGGTTGGCTCCGGAAGTACGTAATAGTTCACGTCATACGATATATGATTTAACATTTTGTAATTGACGATAAAAACAGTTTGATTATTTGATTTTTTAGCGTCGTCAAAATGGTCAGTGGAAAGAATCATAATGTTTGATCAATTTTTGTTCATTACTTACCGACTGGAAATGCTGCAAAATCATACTAGATGTCTTTACCATTTTTATCCCCAGTTATACCAACAATGACTGCTATCCCTATGGTGATGGGCGCTAATATTGGCACCTCTGTCACGAACACACTAGTGGCTCTCGCACAATTTGGGAATCGCGAGGAGTTCAAGAGATCGTTTGCCGGAGCAACAGTCCATGACATGTTCAATTGGTTGACAGTTCTGATTCTCCTACCGTTAGAGGTCGCTACCCACTATCTCTACAGTCTTACTGACGTCATTATAAATAGTTTGGACCTGTCCAAGTCATCTGGGAAGAAACGTGACATCCTCAAAGCTATAACTAAACCATTCACGAGTCTCGTTGTAAAGGTTAGTAACTATGGTTACTGTTATCACGTTTTGTTCTAAGATACAATTTCATATATATTGTATTTTATCAAAGTAAATTGTAGTTTAAACATTATTTATATTTTTAGACAGATATTACGAGATGCGTTTTAAATAATTAGAAAGTAAATATATCAAAGTAATAGGTCATATACCGGTATATTAAACAATAATTAAAAGAAGACATTGTGTCAAATGAGTTAAAGAATGTACACTGTGAAAATCGCTTCAACGCAAACTAAGTCACATTTTGTATGTAGTATTTTGAAAATAAACTGGATCCAGACCAACTTTCGCGATGTACTAGGTACTGTTGATGACGTCATGTTAACGCCAGGTTGACATTGCCAAATATTTACGTTTGAGTTATATTTACTGATTTTTCAAACCCTGTTTTTTATTATCAACACTAACCAAATACATCCAAACATAATATTGTTTCCAATGACATTAATGATAGCTGGTACATGGAGATGACTGTGCCCGGTTTAATATTGCAATAAATCAAAACAATATTAAAAATAATGCATTATTAGTTAAGAACTGTTCATGAAAAACCAATCCATGACTAATTTCGATAATTTTATCAATTTAAGGTAAATAGTAAAGTCATTAAGGATATTGCCGTGGAGAAGGCCGGGGCAGAGGACAAGAGTGTCCTCAAGCGATGGTGTAAGACGATGAAGGTCCATGTCAACACATCAGCAGATCACGGGTTCAACTCAGGGAATGCATCATTTGGTAAAAGAGAGTTTACAGACAGGTCAACAAACCCGTAATTCGAACTGAAAATCAGTCAAACTGAATTATTACATACAAAACGCATAGATACGTACTGAAATATTACATACAAAACGCTAGGCATTGATACGTCCTGAAATGTTACATACAAAACGATAGGCAATGAAATACTTACTAAAATATTACATACGAAACGCTAGGCATTGATACGTACTGAAATATTACATACAAAACGCTAGGCATTGATACGTCCTGATATATTACATACAAAACGCTAGGCATTGATACGTACTGAAATATTACATACAAAACGCTAGGCATTGATACGTCCTGAAATGTTACATACAAAACGCTAGGTATTGATACGTACTGAAATATTACATACAAAACGCTAGGCATTGATTCGTGTATTGATACTTTAGCCTACCGAAATGACAAATGTCAAACACAAATCATTTAATAACGATAGCAGATGATTCGTTTGTTTTAAAAGTGTTGGTACGAGTGGATGTGGATCAGGGGTTTCGTTCATTGTAACACTATTACGCTACAATCTAGAGTGATTGATGTCATGTAGAGTTAAAGTGATTAAGCGGATTAGGGCTTTAGGCCCTAGGGGACTCATTACCAGCTGATGAACAAAATTCGTTAAGCAGATTGAAGTAAGGGAGTTTTGATTAATTCAATTTGCCCGACCAAGCACTGTTTAAAGCATGTGATTCCCGAAACCTCATCAACTGATACATGTGTGTTAACTGTATTTTAAGTTTATGATACATATTCTTTTTTCACAGATCATGTGAGCATGACCTTATAGTATCTATAATGTAAGGTATTAAAAGTGATTCACCTACCAAAAATAGCCTACACAGAACGCAGAACGTTTTTTTCGGTCAAATAAAAGGATTGAAATATTTCGGAACACAATGAAGAAGTTGTCTTTTCATTTCCTTTGACCAAGTTCAAGAAGCTGGTTATTAATAGGATCCATTTGTCTGGTTAATTTGGTAAGAAATATATCATGACATATCTAAGAAGATTCTTTAGTTTATTTTTGTCATTGAAAGTATATGTTTACATCACAGGGCTCGGATTCTTATTTACAAAATGATGACATTTTTTTCGAAATGGGAAAACAAACCATGTGTGGCCAACTCTTCTTAATGGATAAGTGTGCCGCCTACTACTCATTAAGCTTTATACAAGCGACTCACCTATTACCATGTCCGTGAGCTGTTGTTTATGGACGCATCAGTGTTAATGTCTTATTACTGACCAATCACGAGTATTTTAATGCGATAAATACAAGATTAATATATCTGTATTCCAATCTGGAATCTGTTTTTAATCGTTATCTTCCAACAAGACTTATCCTGGTTTTGAGAAAGTATTCGTAGAACATATTGTCATTTAGACGGATTCTTTACCTAACATGTACACCATGTTGCAAAATTCAAATGGATAATAAAAAATAATTTTACGGATAAAATCTTTCTTAGGCCACCGTACTCAAGACAACATATTAACAGGTAAATTGATATATCACGACGTTAAAAAAAGCTCGTTATCCCATACTTAAATGCGGTTTAATACAAACCCACTTATAGTGTCGCATTTAACCCGAAAGATATGACTGAGTCTATATATTTATTAAATTAATTTTTGCTGCTACTGTGCCAAAACCCTTTCCAGTAAGGAATGTATATTGCAAGACCCAATGTGATTGTGCTATGCATTCAACCCTCGTCTCTCTGCCATCTATAGTCTAGGCAATACAACAGCTGGCCGGACTAATATCGCATAGCAGCTTAACCTATATAAAGGGGAAATGTCCACATTGTGGATGACATTCACAGATAGAATATTTATATATATATCACATACACAGTATCAAAGTAAGTCTTCTTCATGTAAACCATGATAAAGACATCGAGAAAAACAGCGATTATGTGATATTTTCAAAAATGAATCACGAATGTGATTTTTAGTAACGTTAATGAATTATCGTGAAACTATAGGCAACCCTTAATTAAAGATTAACGTCTAATCACTTTATGACTAAAACGCATTTGGTCACTTCAAATTAAAGAGACTTTGCTGTAGTTAAAAAAAATCTATACTATACTTATATTTAAGCAATGAATGTTATAGACAATGTTGTTATGGTCCTATAACACACATTGCTATTGATGACAAACTTAATAAAGTTTTTGTATGTTTGTCAGTAATAGAAATGTGTGTTATAGGACCATCACAATATTTGCTAAATTATTCATTATTTACTTAAAACAGCAAATTACGTCTTGGCAGCTTTAAGTGTTTCTATGTGACGTTTCGATGACTAGTATGATATGTACTATGTCACCTTCATAAGACAAATGGTCAGTGAAGCGTATGCACATATAGGCGTAAAATGTTTACGAGTTGTCCACAAATAAATGTCGATTCGGCTACACTGTAAGCGTATGTACAATAGTTTTTATATATGTACCGAAATAACTCGATTCAGCTACGCTTTGTTTAATACTTGGTCATGTGCGAGAGTCTATGAGCCCCCTCATCCCGATTCAGAACTGGCCCACTGCGGCGTATCAAGAAACAAGAAACTTTTCATAAATGTAAATAAACTTTAATGAATACATATATATATATAATAAATAAAGATACTTATTTTCTTTGTTTACAGCACCGCCCATAGAGCAGTCTACTCTTTTCAATCAAACACAAAATGTGTCAAAGCTGTCGGAAAAGATGGTCAAATTTGAAACAAAAAACTTAGAAAGATGTGAGTATCTTACAGTTGTTTCATGAGTTAAAGTAAATTAAACTACATGTAGATGGTATCCATATTGTTCTTTTTGTATTGTTTCGTGTTATTATTCTTGAACCTTGATATTACAAGCAATCGCGGTAGACAATGCACTAGCTGCCATCTATAAAAATTGACTTTGATGTAATGGTTTAAGGTAATAATCTTTTGGCCCTGACTGATATGGACGACAGTGCCGCTGGTGCCCTCCTCATGGTCCTGTCATTTGGCCTCATCATCGTCTCCCTCGTCGTTATCGTCAAGCTCCTCAACTCTATGTTAGAGGGTTCGGTAGCAGCGGTGGTCAAGAGAAGCATTAACGCCAATTTTCCAGGAAAACTCTCCTTCCTCACTGGCTACGTGGCCATCTTGGTCGGAACAGGTGAATTATTTGTATTCATTTAAATCCAAGATGAACGTAACACACACACATAGGTGAAAATTTAATAAAAGAAACAGGATGCCAAAACTGAATTACACTGTATCATATTGGACTAAAATACTGCCTAAACAAAAAGGCAGGTGCATAACACCATTAATGTATGATTTTCAAAAACCTAGAGGAGTACGGGTTAATTTCACACTAATTACTGAATTGTGTATTTTATAAATCATGCCACTCACTACTCTAAAGAGAGTACTATGTACCATCAAGGTTACGGCAAACAAATACAATAAAATACTGAACTTGCCTCCGACAGCATGTTTCGGCCAAAGTTTCACAATCTGTTTATTCTTAATATCACATAGGGGCTTGTGTATCCATTGGTATGACATTCGATAATTTGTCTTAAACAATATTCTGAATTGAGTCTTCACATTCATCAGACATTAATTGTCGCCTTATTTCCTGTAGTGTAGCTGTAAATTGGTTATATCAATGTCATTTTCTTTCTTGTCCTTCTTGCTTTGAACTTGAAAAAACAAACTGTTCTGTCGGTGATTTCAAAGTCATTCAGCCATTCATGTGATTAACAATAGCGCTGGAATGTGTTTTGAATAGTAAACAAATCTAACTTTTTGAATTATAACTGATGTCATCACTCGTCAAAAGATTATCGTGACGGTAAACTATCACACGTATCATACCATTCTGTAAACTGTATAACGCATGGTTTGGTTGTTACAGGTATGACAATGGTAATACAGAGCAGCTCCGTGTTCACATCAATTCTCACGCCACTTGTTGGTGTGGGGGTGGTTTCCCTTGACCGGATGTTTCCATTGACGGTTGGGGCAAATATTGGTACCACTTTGACAACAATCATGGCATCACTTTCACTTCCCGCCGACCAAATTCCACATTCGCTCCAGGTCGGACTTTGTCATCTGTTCTTTAATGTGTCAGGGACGATCCTGTTTTATCCTATCCCATTTATGAGAAAGGCCCCAATCGGTTTGGCAAAGATGCTTGGCAATGTGACGTCACGATATCGATGGTTTTCCTTCTTTTACATTGCCATAGCGTTCTTCCTCGTGCCCGGTACAGTGCTCGGCCTTTCCCTTGCCGGAACCACAGTCCTTCTGGCGGTGGGAATACCCCTCCTCACAGCCATCATTATCATCATTCTTATCAACGTCCTTCAACAAAAAACGAACAATTGTTTACCCACAATCCTGAGAAATTGGGACTTCCTGCCAGAACCCCTGCACTCGTTGGATCCATTAGACAGGGTCATAGCTAGGGTCACAGGAATGTGCAAGTGCTGTAGTAGGAGGGACGAATCAACTTATGCTGAAGAGGGCAATCTTAACGGGAAATCAAACAGAGCATTGGAACTAAACGAAGAACGTTTATGAGTGTGTAAGGAATTGTCATTAATGACCTTTATCCTGATGATCTTATCAATGCAAGTTTATGTTTGTTTGTACAGGTGATGGTATTATGATGAAATGTTATACATTCAAACTGTCCTATGATTTTCAAATGCCATTGACATTGGTTGGATATATATGAAAGGTTAAAATGTCAGAAACACGTTTTTCTGATATCTACGTGTTTCTGATTTTTGACTTATCATATTCTACCGGACAATGAGAACATAATACGATTTAGGGTGTGTATATATCTTAGACATGGTGTAATTTCAAAAGGCAATTTCAACTGAAACATGATAATATATTGTACTTATGACATCGAAACACAAATGACGAAGAAAGATTTTTTTGATTTTTTTTTTTAATTTCAAAAGAAGGCTTCAATGCAGTTTCGAACCCTTCTTTTTCAAGAAGGCCAGGAACTGCCGATATTTCTAGGCTGGGCGATGTAGTGCCGTAAGTTGTGAGTTCGAAACCCGGACAAGTCACGAGTCCTACTTCGTCCTTTGTGTTTCTATGGCATTATTTAAACTATGTAATACATGAACAACGATATGTTATTTTGTACGTATAGCTATGACTGTTAGACTGCTGTCAAGTTACTTCATGTCAACAGACGTGAATAGAATGGGTTAAAACTGCTGTTTGAACCATTTTGCATATGAGACTACAGCATCTGAATACCACACAAACCCATATGAAATTACTAACACAGGAGTAAAGTGTGCTTGGACGTCAAGTTTAAAATTCTGGTATGTTGCACACAATGTTACAAGACTGTATCAGTCTCCTATCAACCTTTTTGATACATTTGATAGCTATACAGCAAGTCAACATATCGACAGACAATATCCTTTTGTTGTTCAATGTCGTAAAACTCGTCGTGCACATATTGCCATTATATTCATTTCATGTTTAAAAAAAAGAAGATAAAAAGAAATCCCGACACCAGAAATATGTGAAAATGCCAATGAATTAAAAATTTAACAATTAAACAATTATAATTGTGTTGCTTATCAAATGCTCTAGTAGTGACACCTAGTACGGAAATAACGTCAAAAGCATTTTGCCTCTACGAGGGTTATATATCAGAAATAACAAGCAAATTCGTGGAACTTATATCCCCCGCTTTCAGGACATATTGTAGGTAAACATTATTGAGGTTAGGTTTAAACATGTGAGTATCGTGTAGTTGAGACATAATGTATAGCTTGAAACTCGCAGAAAAAAAAAGCCTTATCTGATATTTGAGCTATTGTCAAGCTTGGCCAAGCCCTTAATGCTTTGAACCATGTTACTAAGTTTGAAGACAATCGGATACTATTTGCGAGAGTTAATGAACAGAAACGGAAGATAATGACGTTTTTCGTTATTCAAGGGGGAATAACTCTGCCAAATGGGGTCCGCTGAAAGTGGTCATCAAACTTGGTCGAGCCCTTAAGACATTTAACATTGGTTCCAAGTTTGAAAAATATCGGTTCGCATTTGTTGTAGTTATTGCACGGAAACGAAACGTAGCAAATAATGGCGTTTTTCGTTATTCAAGGGACTATAACTCCGCCAAACGAGGTCCGCTGAAAGTGGTCATCGAACTTGGCCGAGCCCTTAAAAAGTGGTCATCGAACCTGGCTGAGCCATTATGGCATTTATTTTAACCCTGTGACCAAGTTTGAAGAAAATCGATTAACATTTATTGTAGTCATTGCACGGAAACGAAGCGCGGCAGATAATGACGTTTTTCGTTATTCAAGGGGCCATAACTCTGCCAAATGGGGTCCGGTGAAAGAGGTCATCGAACTTGGCCGAGCTCTTAAGGCATTTAACCCTGTGACCAAGTTTGAAGAAAATCGGTTCACATTTGTTGTAGTTATTGCACGGAAACGAAGTGTGACCGACAGACAGACCCAAATTAATATCCCCCGTTTTGGTGAAAGCGGGGGATAAAAATAGTTTATGAAAGCCGTCCATACCGAACACTTAGATACAACAGTTAAACATAGATAAAACAAGCCGTTACCATCAGTAACAAGCACGTGCTAAATTTGAGCTGGTTAAATGATCCGTTCCCCTTACTCAAACCAGTTAACCAAGAACAAAAGTCCAACTCAATGAACACTGGGAAAGGTAAGCTTCAGTTTTATAAACATTTTGTAAATTGAAATACAAATGTGCGTCCTTACACCGAAATGATAGCTTCGTCTTTCAACAAAATTCTAGGTGTTTAAACTGTTCATGTAATCGGGAAACGTAATTTGTTTAACATCAAATGGTCTTTTTTTCGTTTTTATGTTTGCTCTTCTAATGTTTATAACTAAAACATCTATCACAATAAATTGTAATTGATTCCCCGACTATGTCCTTAATTCATTTCTGTATTTTCACTTGAAACGATAACTCAGTTGCAAGCCGTTTTAAAACATTAACAATTTGAATGAAATGGGTCTTGTAAAAACACAATAAACAGATTAGGATACAACCAAAACTGGTTACTATTTCAGAGAACTGATACAACAAACACGGGTTTCATAATGAACCATTGATTATGAAATATGGAACATTGCACAACACGTTACAGCTAGGATGATATGACTTTAAAATTATTATAATCCGTTTAGGTATATGCCAACGGTAGCCAGCAGCAAGCACTCCAGAAGAACACTGTCAAGCACTGCTCCGCTGTTCTGAAATGTTTAAATGAACACTCGACACTTTGTTGTTTCAATCCAAACTTCACGCGGAAAATCAATTTGTTTAAGTACAATTAATCAATCATGCTCCTTTGATCAACAGTCAAAACAGAAATAAGCTAAAAACACTTATGACATAAAAGAGGTTAAGCGATATCTATATTGAAATATGTTATTTGTGGTACTCATGAACGGGAGAAACTGGGACTGGTAAACCAGTCGATATGGATGTTAGCCCTGACAAGTCACTGGATGTTTTGGCTACTTTAAACATTGGGTAATTGATACAGCATACCAAACATGAGAGTACACTACACTATACAGCTGTGTCGTCCTTCTAGGACTTATCTGTGACGTTTGCTAGGGACCAAAATGATGGAAATCCAAATAGATTTATTTAAAATGACTTGAGAAGCCTGAATCAAATTCTACAAGCTATATCCGGGACGATGCTTCAGAAACAGGAGGCGTGACCGGCGGTGTAAAACTGCTGTTCCAGGCCGCAACAGTCTATCCTAAAAGGGTATAGGGAATTTTACATATGCACAGCAAACCCAGTCACCGCCTGGGCATACCATTCTTGCTTATGAACCTCTCTTTCGAAGGGAAATTCCAGGGACAAAGGAAATCGAGTAGTGTATTTCGATTGCTGAGAATTTGAGTCAAACCAAACTCTGGAAAAAACAAAAAAAGGACCGAAATATTCATCGGGAACTAAGAACATGATATGTCACACCAAATGCCACTCATGCGGGAATGTGCAACGAGATCAAAAAGGTAGTCAGAGAGAAGAGAACAATCAAATAAACATAAACATAACAATACCAATGAAAAGCTCTTCTGGTGGATTCGTTAGTCTCCGAAGTTTGCCTTAACCTTGACAGCCACAAACATCTCTTTTGAGTAGTGGTTTGTTATATATACACTTCACTCATTATTAATTTGAAAATAAGCTGTACTCAATTGTTTTTTAAATTCAAGAGGTCAAAGTTTTATGCACCTGTTTCAACAGAACTTAGACCAATCTGAATGTCTAATTGTTCGACCCCAGGCATAACTGAGGAGTCGTAGAGAAGTTTAGACCAATCTGAATGTCTAATTGTTCGACCCCCTAGCACAACTGAGGAGTCGTAGAGAAGTTTAGACCAATCTGAATGTCTAATTGTTCGACCACAGGCATAACTAAGGAGTCCTAGAGAAGTTTAGACCAATCTGAATGTCTAATTGTTCGACCCCCTAGCACAACTGAGGAGTCGTAGAGAAGTTAAGACCAATCTGAATGTCTAATTGTTCGACCACAGGCATAACTAAGGAGTCCTAGAGAAGTTTAGACCAATCTGAATGTCTAATTGTTCGAACCCCTAGCACAACTGAGGAGTCGTAGAGAAGTTTAGACCAATCTGAATGTCTAATTGTTCGACCCCCTAGCACAACTGAGGAGTCCTAGAGAAGTTAAGACCAATCTGAATGTCTAATTGTTCGACCCCAGGCATAACTAAGGAGTCCTAGAGAAGTTAAGACCAATCTGAATGTCTAATTGTTCCACCCCTAGCATAACAGTGGAGTCCTAGAGAAGTTTAGACCAATTTGAATGTCTAATTGTTCGACCCCTAGCATAACTGAGGAGTCCTAGAGAAGTTAAGACCAATCTGAATGTCTAATTGTTCGATCCCTAGCATAATTAAGGAGTCCTAGAGAACTCTAGAGACTCTAGAGAACTCAGCAAAGCCTCGTGTTTTACAACTTAAGAATCTTCCACCTCGGGTTGAGATTCCCCTTTCTCACCCCCAAGGGGGCGAGAGATTCTATTACTCTCGCACCACCCTTTCTGTTTCAACAATAGTTTGAACCAATGCAGATTTCCACCTTTGTTGGGTGGTATTTTTAATGATGAAACACATGTAACTGTCAATATATCTTTAACCAGGTTAAATATTTTTGATAGAAACAAAGAAAATATTGATCCAAGTGTTTTGTCCATGTTGGTTTGGTTTAATTTCGTTTAGTATACAGTTAAAGTATGGGGTTGAGGGATATAGCAAGTTTCTAGTGTCCCGAGACCAGGTTTATTTCCCGAGGCGAAGCCGAGGGAAATAGGCATGTTCAAGGGACACCAGAAACTTGCTATATCCCTCAACCCCATACTTTAACCGTTTTATTATACCGATACACACTGGAGAGATAGTTTTTACTAGATACGTCCCAACTACCCTTTTGATGGCAATGGAGCCAAATGCTTCCGAGTTCGGTATCAAGCTCCGCCCACCTCACGCGTCACTGCTGAGTTTGGTAACAAGCTCCGCCCACCTCTCGCCTGATTGGCTCGGAGGAAACACCCGAGTGTAGGTGTGTTTTAGTTCCCAGACTAACACACAGGACTAAAACACAGTCAGGCGAAAGTGGGGATATATTCGATTTAACCAATTACTTTTATATAGAGTAAATAAAGTAGAGGTATAATAATAATGTTTAACGTCCTATCGACAGCTATGATAATCTAAGGACGGCCAACTTGAGTTGATCACCGAGTGATATAGGAATATTGAATAGTGAATACCATATTTTGCATCCAACAAAATGTGACAAATTTTAAAACTAATTACATCAATGCAATTTTTATAAACCAGGGCCATCAGGCAATACTTTAGTGTGATACATTCTTGTGGAACTAAGAGTGAAGGATATAAAGTCTGAGCTAATTACACAGAAATGTATATCATTGTGATAGCTAGTATTTTGATTCAACAAATGCAGTGGAGTAGCAATTTTTTTCAAACTATATAGCTATTTTGAATCATTCAAACATCCTACTGAAACCTGAAATCTGACACTTTTGATTAATTTATCACAGCATTTACTATATCATTTCACCTGTGTACATGACATACCTGTGCAATAGACCAAAGTTTCTCAATTCATAAATTACAACTATAACAATATCCAAAGCAATCTTTATGTTTTTTATTTATATTCCCTTTTATGTTTTCCTTTGTGATGTTTCTTCACCTTGTACTTGTGGTCTTTCTTCCTTTCTTTGTAATGTTTGCGTTCTTGCTTTCTCCTTTTTGTGTCCTCAGTGTCACTCAGATGTTTGTGTTTCCTTTTTCTATCATCAGAATCACTTAGATGTTTGTGTTTATTACAATGCTTAGCTCTCCTATTGTTGCTGTTATCACATTCTCTATCAGTCTTGTGGCTCTTTGATTCCTTCCTGTCTTTGTCACATTCCACACTAGCCTGAGATGATTTTAATCTTTTTACTTTCTTCTTCCTACGCATTTTGTGATGTTTTTTCTTTTTAGATGATTTCCTTCCTCCATTCAAATCAGAGTCTGAAGATGAAGATGTCTGCTCTATCAAATCCTTCAGCTGCTGAATTCTTCAACAAAGATTATTATACTGATAAAAATAAGACAAATATCAACAATATCTGAATTCCTAATCCTACAGATAATGAAATCATAATCTTGTACCCAGTATCTATAATTTGTTCGATACATTATAAAACAAATAGTCATTTGACTTTTTAACTTTAATTATTCTCTAAAATTGTCTCTTCCTCTGACTTAAAATAATGTTTGTTTGATCAATCAAATTATGATTCACTTCAACAAAATTGGAGCTACTTAATATCCCTTACCGGTATTTGCTAAATTACAGAGGCCGATTCCATAAATTCCCCACCTCTGAACATTTTGTTTAAAAAAAGGCCACCTTGTAAACTTGAAAATAATTTTGGATTTAAGAATTACCTCCCCTCTACCAGTATCGCTTCATCAAACTCAAAATTGTCAATATTTATTACCTCCCCTCTATCAGTATCGCTTCATCAAACCCAATACTGCCAATGTTTATTCCCTCCCCTCTAAATATCAGTATCCCTTCATCAAACCCAAAACTGTCAATGTTTATTACCTCCCCTCTATAAGTATCGCTTCATCAAACCCAAAACTGCCAATGTCTATTACCTCCCCTCTATCAGTATCGCTTCATCAAACTCAAAACTGCCAATGTTTATTACCTCCCCTCTATCAGTATCGCTTCATCAAACCCAAAACTGCCAATGTTTATTCCCTCCCCTCTAAATATCAGTATCACTTCATCAAACTCAAAACTGTCAATGTTTATTATCAAACTCAAAACTGTCAATGTTTATTATCAAACCCAAAACTGCCAATGTTTATTCCCTCCCCTCTACCAGTATCGCTTCATCAAACTCAAAACTGTCAATGTTTATTACCTCCCCTCTATCAGTATCGCTTCATCAAACTCAAAACTGCCAATGTTTATTCCCTCCCCTCTACCAGTATCGCTTCATCAAACTTAAAACTGTCAATGTTTATTACCTCCCCTCTATCAGTATCCCTTCATCAAACTCAAAACTGTCAATGTTTATTACCTCCCCTCTATCAGTATCCCTTCATCAAACTCAAAACTGTCAATGTTTATTACCTCCCCTCTATCAGTATCCCTTCATCAAACCCAAAACTGCCAATATGTATTATCTCCCCTCTATCAGTATTGCTTCATCAAACCCAAAACTGTCAATGTTTATTACCTCCCCTCTATCAATATCCCTTCATCAAACCCAAAACTGCCAATATGTATTACCTCCCCTCTATCAGTATCGCTTCATCAAACCCAAAACTCTCAATGTTTATTACCTCCCCTCTATCAGTATCACTTCATCAAACCCAAAACTGCCAATATTTATTACCTCCCCTCCATCAGTATTGCTTCATCAAACCCAAAACTGTTGATGTTTATTACCTCCCCTCTATCAGTATCGCTTCATCAAACCCAAAACTACCCATGTTTATTACACACAGAGAGAATGCAACAAACCCCCAAAACATGGTTCATTTCAAATTGCAACTTAATACCACATGCTTCAAATTTTAAGAATGTTCCCCCGCAAATGACCTAGCATATAAGTGAGTGGTTCCGACATATAGCCTGCATCATATATGATTTGTATGTGTCTGGATGAGGGCACATTGTATACATATATGAAATAGCCTAGGACAATTCTTCTGGGTATAATGTTTTTATTTGAACTATTTGAATGTTTCTACAATTGTTAACTTTCAAGAATTTTAAGTTTATTTCAATTTTATCTTTGAACATTCAAGAAATACAAATTATAGTTACTTCTAAAAAAAAAAATCAGGTTGGTAAGTATGGATTATTGTAAAAAGAACTTTTCATATCGTACTAGTCATTGAAACATCACATAGAAAATCTTATTGGTTGTGTAAAAAAAACTTTTCATAACAAATTATAGTTTCATCATATTATTACAGTCATTTTTTCTATTGAATTTCAACATCATATCACTTGAATGATGAAAAGTTTAATTTTAGACATTTTTTGTATAACTACAAATAAATCTGATGCAGGTCAAGGATACCACAAAACAAAAATGCTGAGAAAGGATACGGGAATGTATTACCTACCTCTCTTCTTTCTGTCTTCGTTTCCTATCCTCTATATACTGTCTCATTGGGTCTTCATGGCCCTGTAAAAAATAATTTCAAAGTTATCAATAGAGTCTGTATAAAAGGAAAAGGCCCATGGGTGCTAATTAACAAATCTCACATATGATAGCCCTTTATTCCAACAAATACAAGACAGCTATCATTACTCTAATCTTTATGGGTCTGACGAATAATTCTGAGGAGGGTTCAGGTTATCTATTTGAATAAAGTTGATCCCTTCATGACAGCAAACTAAAAGCCAATCATCACTACCCTTGACATTATTGATTTTTAGAAGCTGATTGAAGATTTTAATACATTTGACCCAGATGTATTTAAAATGGGCCAAGGACAATATGTTGTTCTAGTTGTTCTTAAGCTGCTCATCAACCTACAAATCAAATAGTATTACAGTTAACCAGGTGGACTTTTGGAGGAAGCCTTTTGAACTTTTTGAGAGATTTGATTGTGTGACTTTGAAAGTGAGTCAAGGTCATGTCTGTGGACAAATGTGATAACCCTTCATCCCATTAAGCCACAGAAATAGCATTACTCCAGGATGATTCTTCAGGTGAACTCGTCTTCAGTTTTAGACATAATTGATCTCTGTGACCTTGAAAGCTCGTCAACATCATTTGTTTGAACAAACATGGTAGCCCTCTGCTGAGACAAGTAACAGGTCAGGTATCAATAGTCCACGTATTATGGGAGTGAGGAAGACGTTTTTTGCAGTAAAAGTTGATGTTAAAAGTCAAGAGCTAGGTCAGATGAACAATGATGTATCATTGCATGTACCTGGGTAGTCACATGTATGTCATGCTTGATGAGCTTAAAACTGACTGGTATTTATCAGTAAAGATGACATAAGTCATGATGGGCTTCATCCAACAATTACAAAGAAACTACACATATAATGTATTTAGTACTCCAATTTGTGTTGGTTTTGTACAGGTATATCAGTTAAATAAAACATCAATCTAAACATTTAAAACACAAACCATTTCAGATAAAACATATAATTAAGGAAGCAACTTTAAGACTAAAAAAATATGTCATATCAAACTCTTTTAAAATTACTTTACATCTTACAATTTTTGTTAAAAACTTTGAATTCAAAGTTTGGCACATTAAATGAAAACTGTCTAACTATTTACCTTAGTATGTGATATAACTTACCCATCTGAAGCGATCTGTTTGAGTAGCATCAGCCATGAATTTAGGACATTGTCTGTCTCCTGCATGGTGGCCATGGCGGCGACAAGACCAACCTGCCGCAACAACCATGAACGAAACCATTACATAATTGTAATCATATATTTTTGTAATAATTCTTTGATTTTTCAAAACCAAATAGTCTAGCTGATATTAGCTCTCAGAATGTACCTTTAAATGAGAACTGGTGTTCAGACTAAATATTTATCTGGGTTGTTGGTGTTAACAAAAAGAGGTCAATGAGGTGTAAAGATCCTGTGGTAATTCCTTATATTAAAGGTATTCCCAACACAAGCAGGCAGCTTCGAGAGTCTGGTGAGTTTTATAGGCCTAATAACAGATGGTAGAGTCTTGTGAGACCTAAGTACAATACTCCCAGGATTTCAACAGAGGCCAGACAGAATTGTTCAAGGTGACAAATGTGCTGATGATATAGGTGAGGTGGAAAGGATCTTCATGAACTGTTTTCTTGAACAGAAACATCCAAACTTCACAAAAACAAAACCCCAACTGTTACACTCCCAGGCCCTAACTGTTACCTAGATGATTTCCTAGTAAGTTGTAACATTCTCTGATAGTAAACCTACCTGACTGTAACATTGGTTTGTGTTTTACGTACTCCTATTAACAGCTATGGTCATTTAAGGACGTGCCAGGTTTTGTGGTGGAGGAAAGCCCGAGTTCCCGGAGAAAAACTACCGACCTTTAGCCAGTACCTGGCGACTGCCCCACGTAGGTCTCGAACCCGCGACCCAATGGCGGAGGGCAAGTGGTAGCAGAATGTTGGCCGCCTTAACCACTTGGCCACCGCGTAACTGTAACCTCCTTGGTGACTGTGACCTAAATGACTATAAAGTGTAAACCTTCCTGACTGGGAGTGTAACCCTTCCTGACTGTAACCCTCCTTGATTAAACCTCCCTGACTGTAACACTCCCTGATTGTGAACCATCCATGATTGTAACGCTCCTTTGTGTTACTTTCCTTATTCATGTGCAATTACGTTTCTTACTGTAATTGTATGAAACACAATTTTTCAAAGACTAAAAACATATCAACTTTTTTTTACTTTTAAAGTTATTATGAAATGAAACAATTCAAGGTTTTCCCCACTAATATTTATCTTGTTGGGCCAGAAAGAAGCATACTGTTGTCAGTGGGACTCTTACTGTGTGAGGATACAGGAATATCCAGGGGAAACCTGAAGTGATTGAGCAGGTGACCCCACACCTTTTCACATCTGACCGGGGAGTCAAACCCTAGCCATCCTTGTGAAATCCACTGCAACACCTGACTGACCTTAATCTTTCCAATACCTTTTTAACAACTTACATTGTAAAGTTTTTCCCTTTTTCTCCTCTGATCCTGCCTCATCCATTTGCCTTGACTCCCTTTGTGGTTTTCCTTAATTACCCTCCTCTGTGCTGTACATTGCAATCTCCTGTCAGACAAAGATATTCACATACTCACATATATAACAATAATATTGTTTTCTAAAATTGATATTTAAAATAAAGACATTTTTTTCATTTTTTGTGTGCTCCTATTGGTTTTTTTTACGATTTTGTATTGAGGCGATGGTAAAATGTCATTTATTTTGCATGCCAAATGTTCAGACTCCTGGTTTTAAAAGCTAGACCATTTATTATTTAATGTACTGGAACTTACTAACTTACACATATTATCAGCAATTTCTATAATTACAATTTTTCATTTGATCATATTTTTCCCCTTTGTTCATGAACAAAACTGGTTATAAACAATGTTTGAGAAAAATGTATCATAATTTATAAGTTATATGAGGAATATTTACGGTGGCAACCTGCATCTAATAAAGAGAAGAAAATTGTTACATTAATTTGTCAATTTGTGGTGCATGGGTTGGTTTTTAAGCATGTGTTCATTTGTAACATTTGTGTGAATCTGTATATTTACATTATGAACTTTGAAGTGGTATTTTAGAGCTTTAAAATATGTTACTCCTTCACAATTAATAGTTAGAATATAAACAGCCATTTGAGAAAAAAACATGCATATTATAGGACAGCCAATCGCCCTAATCATCCTTAAAACTCAAAAGGCAGTGAAGAGGAGAGAAGTGCATGACTTTAACATAAAACTGTAAGAATGATCTGTCCTCTGTTATTAATGCATTGCCTTGGGGGAGATGATGTAACACAGCACAGAAATCCTACTCACCGCTGCCCGTGTTTTCATATGGAAAGTGCAAGTAGAATGCACCCTTGTCAGGCACTTCCGGTTTGCTGCTTCCTGTTTATAAAACGAAAGATCAAGCACATGGGAGAGGGTCGCCGTTCTGTTGATGTAAGCATACTTTCTTTTTAACTATGAATCGTAATAATGGACTAGTTGTTACGAAATGTAAAGAGAAACGACCACATCATAATAAGAAACTAAAATGTGATGACACTTTTTAAGTGGCACAGCTGCTCGGTTGGCCTGAGTCAACTAGGTAGCTCAGCGGCGCCGGGTCAGTGATATTGACTTTAAGTAGGGATAAAAAAATCGCATCGGTCAGTCATAAACCAATCATTGACAATTCTATAATCTTAAAAACAATCGGAGTGGGATAAATTCCAACTATGATTATCAACTGAAAACTAACACTCTGTACCCTCTGCAATTAAGAATGAATCATTAACTGGATTTGATGGATCTCAATATGTTCACATTCTGTCAAATCGTCAATCCATGTGCGTTATAGTATGACTATATAATCATGTCACATACATGTAAAATTTCCAAATTCTGCATTTCACATGGCATAATAAAACTCTTGGTATGATTGAGTATCACTGAAATGGAGACTTGCTTCCCAGTATATGCAGAGAAGCGGCCCTTCATGAAGTTTTTATACCATAGTTTGGTAGGATGTAAGGGACTATTTCAAGGACTGGTAATATTTCGCCTAATTTAATAACAATTTTCACTACTAGTGCCTAAATCTTCAAATTGTTTCCTTTCCTCAAAGTATTGATATTTATGTAATTGTCAGATACACTCCTTTACCTTTGGTGTTTGTAATGACAAGTTAAGCTTGAATCATTCACTGAACCATGTGCGTTGTACGATGTTCTAACAGAGTCCAAAATGGTGATTGCCATTGGATTTGAAGGCAGTGCCAACAAGATTGGAATTGGTATCATCAGGGATGGGGAGGTATTATCTAACCCACGGCATACATACATCACTCCTCCAGGACAAGGTAGGTCACCGACCCTGAGTAACTTGTCAGTTAAGCAGTACTTGGATAATGTACAGGTCAAATGTATATGAAATGATATGTCAGATCAGTATATGATAAAAAAAAATTGCAGTTATTTTTTCTTCTGTTTTCTTATTAACTTTTCCTTTACAACATATTTTATATTACGATGTTATACTATTATACAGTGGTTATAGTAATTGGATATATCTTACATTAATTATGAAATATCACAATATTTTTTCATGTTCTTATAACACATTTTATGCACTTAAAATGGGAAAAGTTTTTTCATTTTAAAAAATAAATCTTTTCTTCTTAAAAATGAGCAACCTATGTCAGGGGAAACAACTCTTACTGTTTTCGTGTCATTCAGACCTCACAAAGTGTGGCCCCATATTGTTCAGGAAAAGATAAATGTTGACACTCTATGAAAAAATATAGATTTTTTGGTAGCTTCAAGGTGAATGCATAGAAAATGGAATAAGTGGCTGTGTCAAGATAATTTGTAATTGCTCACACTGAGTCATAACTGCTAATGAGCTTCACTTTGGTGACTTTCTTGTCCATTTTAGTTTTATAATGTATTTCATAGATATGGAGCTAACTATTGTTATAAAATAATGACAATAATAAGTCAGAAAATAAATAATGTGGTAAACATTCTGATCTACTTGATACATTTTCTCTGTAATGTGTAGGGTTCCTGCCAAGAGATACTGCCATTCACCATCGCAAGCATGTCCTGGATGTACTCAGACAAGCTCTAGAAGAAGCCAACATTGAACCCAAAGACTTGGATGTAGTCTGTTACACTAAAGGTAATTAACACTTACTGTAAAAATGTTGCATCTCAGTCTTTTGATCGTTCTTGTGCCAAAAGGAGACCCTGTAAAATGGGCCATAAAATCTGAACATTTGTTTTCTTAGCTTTCAATATTCAGATTTATTGAAATTTACCCTATTTTTTTTTTTTAATTTTGATAACAGGTCCAGGTATGGCTGCCCCTCTGGTGTCTGTTGCAGTAGTAGCCAGGACAGTGGCCCAACTGTGGAGGAAACCCATCATAGGGGTCAACCATTGTATAGGGCGTATCCTTAGCTTTTATCATACAGCCAACCATTATTTACCATAGGGGTCAACCACTGTTTAGTTGTAAGGGTCAACTATTGTATAGGACATAAAGGGGCTGACCCTCCTGGCTCTCATTGCAAATTATTGAACAGATTTCAACTTGATTTCCAAAATAGACAGGGGTGTAATTCACAAACCTTGGGCCTCTTGAATACACCTTCTATAGGTATAAACTATAACACAGTCTGATGTTGTTTGATCTTTAACACTTGGTAGATATAGAAATGGGGCGCCTCATCACAGGAGCAAACAACCCTACTGTGTTGTATGTCAGTGGAGGTAATACACAGGTAAGGTTAACTTTTTACTGGTGATATGACTTCTGTAATTTTTGATGATTGATAATTACTTAGCACAGCCACTGGATATGTCTTTCCTTTTCCTTTTTATTGGAACATTGTACAAAACTTACCATTGGAGGATGTTACGCATGGAGAATGTTAATGCCAATGTTGTGTAGTTAATAATAACACAAACGTTATCTGTTGTATTCTTAGGTGATAGCCTATTCCCAGCAGCGGTACAGAATCTTTGGTGAGACCATTGACATTGCGGTTGGAAACTGTCTGGATAGATTTGCTCGGGTTCTGAATTTGTCCAATGACCCGAGCCCTGGGTACAACATAGAACAACTGGCCAAGGGTGGTCAAAAGTTTCTAGAACTGCCCTACACAGTCAAGGGCATGGACGTGTCTTTCTCTGGCCTCTTGTCATTTATAGAGGAGCGAGCAGTAGGCCTAGTTAAGAGTGGGCAGTATACCCCAGAAGACCTCTGTTTCTCCCTTCAAGAAACTGTGTTTGCCATGCTGATTGAGATCACAGAGCGAGCCATGGCACATTGCGGATCACAGGAAGTCCTCATTGTAGGGGGCGTGGGTTGTAATATCCGTCTGCAGAAAATGATGGGCAAGATGGCGGAAGAAAGAGGAGCAACTCTATTTGCCACAGACATGAGGTATGTACATTAAGAAGGTAAATGAACCCTGGATACTTCGGGAATATTTGATTCTGAAAAAAATCACCATGGTAACATAATGCTACCCGAATTGGTTCAATTTTTACATTTATATCAAATGTTTCTTGGTTTTATCACTTGCCATGGTGTGTTCATTTTCAGAAAAAGTTTACATACAGGGGTATTCAGGAATTTGTTTCTAAAAATAACAAAAAATAAACAACTCATCCTTTTTTGGCAATGACAACTTCCCAAAACGATACAGCATATTACAGGCTGTAAAACTACTGTTTGTTTCTATTAACTAGTCTGCAGATTGCAACAAAATACACTGTTTGTATGGATATAAAACTGAACTACAGTTGTCATACATACACATACATATAATGCTTTGGTTAAAGCACCAGATACAAACTTTTAACATGCCTATAATTTCCTACTTTCAAATGTTATTTACTTACGTCATATTTCTGCTTTCCTGGCATGTCATCTTAAGTCATCTAAATGGAAGTGTCAGTGTTAACATCTAGAAGAGAAGTATCAAAATATCAAATTTCATGATAAGAATTGTCAATGTGCGTTTCCAAAAAGGAATTATCAGGGTTATTTTCCGGAGAGGAATTGCCAATGTTGGTTTCCTGAGAGGAATTGTAAATGTTAGTTTTAAGAGAGGAAATATCATGTTTGTTTCCAAAAAGGAATTTTCAATGTTAGTTTCCAAAAAGGAATTTTCAATGTTAGTTTCCAGAAAGGCATTGTCAATGTCAGTTTCCAGAAAAAAAATATCCGTGTTATTTTCCAGATTGGAATTGTCAATGTTAGGTTCCAGAGAGGAAACGTCAATGTAATTTTCCAGAAAGGAATTCAGAGTTTATGTCCAGAAAGGAATTGTCAAGTGGTATTGTTAGAAATCAAGTGGCAAATGTGACATACAGAAATGTTTTTTGGATTTTCAGGTTCTAAATCAAAAAGATCAAACTGTAAAAACTTGTGAAGTTATTATTGACTCTATTTGTGTATACGATGCCCATAATTTGTTACTTGGATTTATTTTACTAATCCTGACATAATTGGTTAGTGTTTTTCAAAGGATTTTAATGAATAGTTTTGTTAAATATTTCTCTGGCAATTTAGAATTGTAACATTTCTATGATGTCAAATGGTTTTGATTCAAATTCATTCAAATCTATATATTGAGGGCAAGAAAGGGTTATACATTGCCTAAGGGTAAATATTTGATAAATCAAACATGTATTGATTCTTATCTTTTCTCACATTATGTATTTCATAGCAGAACTACACACATCATTATATGTGATTCAAAATTAGCTTCTTTGACCAGATGCTTAGGTAGCAGTGTAAAGAAGCATACAGTGGCCATGGGTGATATTTTTGTACGATGAATAACCCCTGTAATATTACATGTATCAAAACTTTTAAGAAAAAAAACACTACCTGCGTGGGTCAAATTTTGGGTTAAAAATCACTTTTTGCACTTTTTGGCATTTTGTGATGTGGTAACTAACCATGGTTTTCACAAGTCCCAAATCTGGGGAAATCACTTTTTGAAAAAATTCTAAAAAAACGTTTTCAAAATGTAGTTTATAAATATATATATATGTAGGTGTGTTGTGCAGGATGAAACTGTTATCCATGTTTATCCGAGACATGCCCTTTATTTTAAGGGTCAAGCCATGTCTACTGTATTCTGCTACCTTATACACAGACATCAAATTTTTCTGAAAGAAAAGCCTTTATATGCTTGATTCAGCTTCACTTTCATTCATTATTGCTTAAAACTACTCAAAAACGTTCAAAAAGTTACACATATAGGTCAATATATAGGTCATCAATAGCAGATTAGCCTATTACCTGTGGATATATAAAGGGGGGTAAATCGCCCTTATCACAGGCACTTCACAATTCATCACATATGTATCAATTTTGTAATTGGTAAAGTTGATACCAAACATCAAATAGTTCACAGGCTATCTCCTTATGCATTCAGACTAGATTTCAGTCTATTTCACTCAGTTCAGCACCCTGTATCCATGGTTACTAATACATAAAGTTGTATTTATTGAAAATGGGTAAAATGTATGTTTTCATTCTGACTACACTATTTTAGATGTTTTTTTCCACTTGATTCAGCATACAGATTAAATTAGCAAAGTCAGTAATGTCAATAAATTTTATTTCCATAATTACAGGTGAAGAATATCTTTTTTTTCTAGCAAAATATGTTAATTGAACAACTTCTGAGGATCACTCAATTCTAGGCGAGGAAAGTAAATAACGGTTGCTATGGTGTCACTTGTCTGATGTTTCAGAATATCTGACATTTTGGTGCTGTTTATCGGTTACGGGAAGTGTGTCTGTTGCTAGTTTCTTGTTGTGATGGGTTTCCTAGTGCTCATTTTTGTATCAGTGAGCCTTGATGATGTCATAGATGTCCATTGATGATGTCATAGTTATGATATGACATCACAGTTACTATGACATCATCAAACGAGACAGAAACATCATAGTATCACTGTACTGTTTTAATTTTCATATGCACATGATCCCAAAGCATCATATATCACGCAAAAAGAAATTTTATTCATGAAAACTACAAACCTATTTAGTTTTAATTTTTCAGATTACCTCCCTTTGTTGGTAGTTTGAGAGCAGAAATGGAAATATTCAACTGACACGAGAATTCATTTTACTCGGTCACTTTTTAAGTGAGAAAGGAAACAGATACATCTTTTTGTTCATTGTGTCATTTTGCAGACATTTAAAAGGTTTTGATTAAACTTTGGGAAAAAGAAATGATGTATAAGGTAGCAGTGTACAGTAGCGTACGGTGGCCATGGGTGATATTTTTGTACAATGAATAACCCCTGTAATATTACATGTATCAAAAGTAAAAAAAATCAGCTCTAAAATTGGCATATACATGATGAATCGGACTATGTGGGCTTCACATTTAAAAAAAAAATGAATTGGCTTGAGACTACGTTTTTGGCCATTTACAAGTCTGTGTCTACACAACTTGCGTGGGTCAAATTTTGGGTTAAAAATCATGTTTTTTGCACTTTTTGGCGTTTTTGATGTGGTAACCATGGTTTTCACAAGTCCCAAATCTGAGGAAATCACTCTTTGAAAAAAAATTCATTCTTCTAACAAAACCTTTTCTAAATGTAGTTTATAAATATATGTATAAATGTAGGTGTGTTGTGCAGGGTGTATCCGCTATCCATGTTTATCCAAGACATGCCCTTTATTTTTAGGGTCAAGCCATTTCTACTGTACTCTGCTTCCTTAAAGGTCAAAGATCAAGCCTTAAATATCTGTATTAATTAAATGATTTGTTGTCATTAGGTTAATGGTTGCTAAAGTATGAAACATTATTTTTGCTTGACATCAAGTAGCAGAACACAAGCATGGATTAATTATCTGTGTTACAGCTTCTACAGAAATTAACTATCTGTGTTACAGATTCTACAGAAATTAATTATCTGTGTTACACATTCTACAGAAATTGATTATCTGTGTTAGATTCTACAGAAATTAATTATCTGTGTTATAGATTTTACACAAATTACTGTTACAAATTTTGGAGAGATTAATTACCTATATTACAGGTTCTGTATAGACAATGGTGCTATGATTGCACAGGCAGGTTGGGAGATGTTCAGAGCAGGGGTGGTCACCCCACTCACGGAGACATTCTGTACACAGAGGTATGACAAATCTTCGTCTTATTCCCTCTACCTTATGTCCCCACTCATAAAATGACGTAACCTTGAGTAAAGGGGCCAAGAGTTTGTTTGGTTTGACTGTACATATATTAATCCCCTATCCCACATGATATATTTCCAACAAGATCAAGCGTATCAGTTTTTTCCGCCCACTCTTACGTTTTCTCTACTACAATGAAATGAATACATTTCTCACGTCAACATGCTGTTCTATTGATAAGAATATGGAAAAATATTTGGATAGCCTCAATCCGCCACCCCCAAGAAAAAAGTAAAAATCAATACTACAGTGATTTGCTGTATAGAGATAGAAGAATTTGTCATTTGAAGTGGTTATTTCCCTACCCAATATCTATTAAATATTTATAGCTCACCTGGCAAAGAAGTGCTTGCTAGCTTATACAATGGTGTAGCATCCATTCTGTCCAGCATAAACTTTCCCATACAAAATTACATTTTATAGAAGGGTAGGCCTTGGGTCATTATATTTGGCCTGTAGCTTGCTATAATAATAGACAACAATTTTATAAGTAAATAACCTTCACCTACTTTCAAGGTCATGAGGTCAAATGTGTGAAAAAAACCAAATTATTTCATCTAGAGAACTTAACTATGAAACATATTTGTCATGTAGCATGCTGGAAAAGAGGGTTATTAAGTTGCTGAAAAAAAACTACATTCAGTTGCTTTCAAGGTCGTGGGGTCAAAAGTGTTTTTTAAAAACTCAAGCAGCTTTTACAGAATCACGAGGACTTACATTTGTGGGACTGGGAGTTTATTGGGTTCAATGAACAACATTGATGAACTTACATGGTCACATGTATCCGTATGTCAGAAATCATAGAAACATAACCATGTGAGCTATTAAGGCCTTTGGGCTTCATGTTAATTTGAACAGATACATTCTGTACCTAGATAATGCTATGCTGTTCCCTCAGGTTCCGGACAGATGAAGTGGACGTGACATGGAGAAAGTGAACATACCAGTTTTATGACCAGAACATGAAGGAACTGACCGTCAAGCATAACATTTCTGACCAGGAAATCTCTACTGACTATTCTGGCCAGGACATCACTACAGAGTGCCTCTGTTCTGTGTCAGACAGATTGATATCCAATGTTATGGCCCCACCAGGAGCGGATATACTTCCTGTATCATCAGCGATGTCACATTGGAATGTTGATAGTTCCCCAGTGATCTGATGTGGGATAAATCCTATAACAAGGCTCTGTTAGTTAGTTTTATAAAGTAGACATGGTCTGGTAATTTTATTATAACATTAAAAATTGTCTTGCAATTGTCAGACAGTAAAACTAAAATTTTGCTTATAGCAAAGATATCTTTGTCTCTTGAAAAATACATCTTTTTAACAAAGTTTACCTATGCTTAACTAATGTTTTATGTTTCCTTAAATTTGTTAGAAGCACATTTTAATATGCAGAACTAATTCTTCGGTTTCTTTGACTTTGATGTGTAAACATGCCATAATATGATAAGAAAAACATGTGAGGAGCAGCATCCTTCATTCCTTGCATCAGTGTCACATGACATGATATGTAATTCCATGTGTTTAGGTATGACCTCATTGACAGGTTGTCACATGACTGTCACATGACTGTACTTGCTGAATCTCCTACATCTATTGACATGTAATAAAACAGGCAGCACCTTGTATGTGTGGCTGGTACATAAACATTTCCAATGTTTGTTTTTATGTAATAAGGATGCTTTTACTAATTATTTGTATGTTTTATAGCTTTTAACCCTTGTAATAAACATGAGGAGTGACATTTTCACCGGTCAGCAAAGTTTTGACACTAATACAAACATTATAAGATATGCTGTCTATGTGCTCTGTGATACTGCACTTAATGTTCCTCTGATAAAACTGACAAACATTACGTAGAAGGGATTGTGTAAAATGTTAATTTATTATACAATTTTGTGTGTGTAACATGAATTTTATGGTATAAAAGGATTTCTCAACTCAATAATCATTGTATTTTTTACAGCTTTATATTTACAAACTCATTATGATAAATGATAAACATCCATCCCTTTGTTTCCTCATTATAAATATAAATGTTGAGATCGGTGTATTAAAAACAATGACTGTTATACACAATTCTGTTGTATGAAATACCACCATGTTAAATCTGTGGACATTTACTTCATCATGTCATATAACAATTAATACAATGTCTAATCTGTGAACATTTACTTCATCATGTCATAAAACAATTAACACAATGTCGAATTCTGTGAACATTTACTTCATCATGTCATATAATAATTAACACAATGTCTAATCTGTGAACATTTACTACGTCATGTCATATAACAATTAATACAATGTCTAATCTGTGAACATTTACTTCATCATGTCATAAAACAATTAACACAATGTTAAATCTGTGAACATTTACTTCATCATGTCATATAATAATTAACACAATGTTAAATCTGTGAACATTTACTACATCATGTCATATTACAATTTACACAATGTTAAATCTGTGAACATTTACTACATTATGTCATATAACAATTAACACAAGGTTAAATCTGTGAACATTTACTACATTATGTCATATAACAATTAACACAATGTGAAATCTGTGAACATTTACTTCATCATGTCATATAACAATTAACACAAGGTTAAATCTGTGAACATTTACTACATTATGTCATATAACAATTAACACAATGTGAAATCTGTGGACATTTACTACATCATGTGATATAACAATTAACACAATGTTAAATCTGTGAACATTTTCTTCAACAAGGTATATAACAGTTAATACAATGTTAAATCTGTGGACATTTACTACATCATGTCATAACAATTTTTACAATGTTAAATCTGTGGACATTTACTACATCATGTCATATAACAATTTACACAATGTTAAATCTGTGAACATTTACTTCATCATGTCATATAACAATTAACGCAATGTTAAATCTGTGGACATTTACTTCATCATGTCATATAACAATTAACGCAATGTTAAATCTGTGGACATTTACTTCATCATGTCATATAACAATTAATACAATGTTAAATCTGTGGACATTTACTACTTCATGTCATATAACAATTAACACAATGTCGAATTCTGTGGACATTTACTTCATCATGTCATATAACAATTAATACAATGTTAAATCTGTGGACATTTACTACATCATGTCATATAACAATTAACACAATGTCGAATTCTGTGGACATTTACTACATCATGTCATATAACAATTAACACAATGTTAAATCTGTTGACATTTACTACATCATGTCGTATAAAAATTAACACAATGTTAAATCTTTGGACATTTACTTCATCATGTAATATAACAATTAACACAATGGTAAATCTGTGGACATTTACTTCATCATGTCATAAACAACTAACACAATATTAAATCTGTGGACATTTACTCCCTCATGTCATATAACAATTAATACAATGTTAAATCTGTGGAAATTTACTTCATCATGTCATATACAACTAACACAATGTTAAATCTGTGAACATTTACTACGTCATGTCATATAACAATTAACACAATGTTAAATCTGTGGACATTTACTTCATCATGTCATAAACAACTAACACAATGTTAAATCTGTGGACATTTACTACATCATGTCATATAACAATTAACACAAGGTTAAATCTGTGGACATTTACTTCATCATGTCATAAACAACTAACACAATGTTAAATCTGTGGACATTTACTACATCATGTCGTATAACAATTAACACAATGTTAAATCTGTGGACATTCACTACATCATGTCATATAACAGTTAATACAATGTTAAATCTGTGGACATTTACTTCATCATGTCATATAACAATTAACGCAATGTTAAATCTCTGGACATTTACTGGCACGTCCTTAAATTACCATAGCTGTTAATCGGATGTAAAACACAACAAACAAATTGTTACACTTGGAGAGTGTCTCTTCAACATATTTCTGGCCAACTTCATATATATACAGAAACATGACAAGAGGATACTGAAGTGTCAACAAAACCATGATTTGAACTCGGAGGCCATAAAACAAGGATAAAATATGAGCAACTAATGTCACATCCTCAGATTGAGAACTCGGGGTATTAACAACTTATGTCACATCCACACATCAAGAACTCGGGTATTGACAACTAATGTCACAACCTCACATCGAGAACTCGGGTATTGACAACTAATGTCACGTCCTCACATCTAGAACTTGGGGTATTGACAACTTATATCACGTCCTCACATCGAGAACTCGGTTATTGACAACTAATGTCACATACTCACATCGAGAACTCGGGTATTGACAACTAATGTCACGTCCTCACATCTAGAACTTGGGGTATTGACAACTTATGTCACGTCCTCACATCTAGAACTTGGGGTATTGACAACTTATGTCACGTCCTCACATCGAGAACTCGGGTATTGACAACTAATGACCCATCGAGAACTCTGGTATTGACAACTTATGTCACGTCCTCACATTGGGAACTCTGGGTATTGACAACTAATGTCACGTCATCACATCGAGAACTCTGGGTATTGACAACTTATGTCACATCCTCACATCGAGAACTTGGGGTATTGACAACTAATGTCACGTCCTCACATCTAGAACTTGGGGTATTGACAACTTATGTCACGTCCTCACATCTAGAACTTGGGGTATTGACAACTTATGTCACGTCCTCACATCGAGAACTCGGGTATTGACAACTAATGACCCATCGAGAACTCTGGTATTGACAACTTATGTCACGTCCTCACATTGGGAACTCTGGGTATTGACAACTAATGTCACGTCATCACATCGAGAACTCTGGGTATTGACAACTAATGCCACATCCTCACATCGAGAACTTGGGGTATTGACAACTAATGTCACGTCCTCACATCAAGAACTCGGAGTATTGGCAACTAATGTCAAATCCTCACATCTAGAACTTGGGGTATTGACAATTAATGTCACGTCCTCACATCGAGAACTTGGTTATTGACAACTAATGTCACATACTCACATCGAGAACTCGGGTATTGACAACTTATGTCACGTCCTCACATCGAGAACTCTGGGTATTTACAACTTATATCACGTCCTCACATCGGGAACTCTGGGTATTGACAACTAATGTCACATCCTCAGATTGAGAACTCTGGTATTGACAACTAATGTCACGTCATCACATCAAGAACTCGGGGTATTGGCAACTAATGTCACATCCTCACATCTAGAACTTGGGGTATTGACAATTAATGTCACGTCCTTACATCGAGAACTCTGGTATTGACAACTAATGTCACGTCTTCACATCGAGAACTCTGGTATTGACAATTAATGTCACGTCATCACATCAAGAACTCGGGTATTGACAACAAAACCACAAGACACTAATGTGCATAATAAAAGAAAACATCAACCTTCATATCAAACTAATGGCGACCATAAAACCTGTCCATTAACTTGGGAAACCTATATTAGATGTTTGCCATCAACAGTCGACATCAATCACAGAAGTGACCATATTCGGAGCAAGCTCTTGCGTACCAAAACAACTGCGACATGTACACCTGATAGGAAGAGGAAGGAGAGATATTACTATCAAAAAAGAAAAAGTTAACTATCAGAAAGTCAAAATCGTCCCTCTTATCTCATCCATAAAAGATATAGTGGGTCATAAAAAAGTTGGCGTGTCCAACAGGAAAAGTATGAGTTCAGGATTTAAACATCTGAGTCCCAAAAATACTCGTTTAAATCGTTCATCAGAACCGAACCCAGGTGTCTGAGATACAACATGGCAGGCATTACTTCTGTGACGTCCATACCAAAGGTAATAACTGAATGCCCCTTAGTCTGCACTTTTCATAAGTGTATGTTGTAAAGTTATACAAAAACAAATACGTTGGTGACTAAGATAGTCACATACAACACGACAGAAAAATCATTTTGTAAGCACATTGTACCAGAAAATAACAAATTATAGAACTGCCTTGGACATCCCATTCTAAAACCAAGACTTAGTCGTCAAAAGTATGAGGCTGTCAATGGAGGTTGTGACACTACTGTCAACTATACGAACCTCTGCCTTATTTCAGTGTTCTGCACCCGCCTTTATAGGGCGCTGGTGTATATCTTGTATAGGCCAGTACTCAACAGCTCTGTCCGCCTTACTCCCGTGAAGATTTTGATGCTCTCTGATTTTGTTCTCTCCTTTTCACCTTGCTTCTTCTTGTGTTGGTATGTATCTTCTCGATTACTGTCAGAATTCCTAATTTAACACAAGCATCAAACAGTTTACTCTTTTATGGTTCATTACATCGAAAACTGATGCCACGTCTTTGTACGTGCATGCGTCCCAGCACTTCTTCCATGGGTAGTTTAGCACAAAAGTGATGAGGTACAAGTAATGAAATACCTCTACATCTGATTTGTATTTTCACTATGCTGACAAATGGATGAGCTGGCGTCCAATTTTTTACCTTTGATTTTGTATACTTATAAACAGATGGGGATATGGCTATAAAAATATGCTTGCGTTCATGATGCTTCAGAATGTTTCGATATCCAGCCCTTTTGTTTGTTGGAATGACTTTGAGCCGCAAGCGACGAGAAACGCTGGAAACATTCTATTAAGGTGCCATCGTCAGTATATTGATGTC